TTCCAGAGAACAAAGGCCGCTCGCTCAGACTTACTCTCTCCAGCCTCGATTAAAGAGCAAACCTTCAGAAAACACGCTCTATCAGCTTGAAGAAGAAGGTTTTTTTCGGTCCAGAAAACCACGTCGGTCTCTGTGGTGTTACCGCCACCTCTGTGTGACGTAGCATTGGCTGAACAGTGCCCCCTGTGCCCACACGTGGTAATTACAGGTTTCCAGACAACGTGAACCAGCAACAAGCACCTCAGATGTGTTTCAGTAGAATAAAACTGGTTTGTGTATACGGACTTTGGCTTAAAGCTAGCCAACAAGAAAAAGGCTGCCTGCGATTTTAATTTACAGTTATGAAGCTCACGCTGCGTTTCTGTGCGGTGCACAAACGTCTCAATCGAGCGTTTCCTCTCGTGATGTTTGCCAGCTGAGCGATAGCCTCACGGGTAAAATGATTTTTGATGCTGTGACTTCTGTTTGTAACTCTGACTCGCAGCGTCTGAGTGGTGATGTCATGGTTTCTGAGAACAACGGAGATGTTAGCATAGCGCTGAGCTCCATCGTTACCACAGACAGCATAACAGACGGAAGTGATGTCGCCCGCTGATGTCTGAAGCTTCTAGATCAGCGTGTGACATTTTGAAACCAATGTCCCACGCTGTATCAGTCCCGCCCTAAGAAAAGGGGCGGGACTGATACTGCTCACTCATTGGCTAACAATTTCTGAGCAAAAGTTTAAAAAAATGAATAAATTATAACATGAACATAAATTTTTATTCGGTTTGACATGAAACAATTGATGGAGCTCAAACTCGTTAGGGAAGTATTTACCGAGGTGACAGACGTCTACAGGACAGGAAGTCTTGTTGCACCCACAGCTGTTGCCCCCTGGTGGCCTTTAAAATGAGTGCAGGTTTAAGGCATTTCTGCTTTGGGAGCAGTTTTCAGTTGCGTCCATCTGTTATACTGCCTGTGAGAGTTAGTATGAGATGTAAACCTTACATTTAGATCTGGTCTTGTTACTGAAGCACCTGCAGAAACAACTGAAGCTGTGGACTGCTGGACGTTCTCCGTTCTCGTGGCGTTTAGCTCGTGGCTAGTGCTGATGCTGAGAATGTGGCGCTGTGCCGCCGCTGAGGTTCCCTTTAAAGTCTTTTACTGTAGCTCATGTAGTCCTCATAATGCTCCGAGATTAAGCTCTCCACCTGTACAAACACATTTAGATGAACATATTCAGCACATTTAGCCTGCTGCATGATGGATCACATGACTGAAGTTCTGTCATTGGTTAGTTTGAACGTTCTGTGCTCCCGTGGTGGAGGAGTGGATGATTTAACCTGATAACCATCTGTGTGTATGATAGCTTCCAGTACTGTAAATACTCTGTGTACGTTCATATGGGACCAACTACCACAGTGTATACTGTATACATGCTCACAGCACCTCCCACACAGCATGCTGTACAAAGCTGCAGATTAAAGCTGCTGCTTCATGCTTCCATCCCCACATGTTGTATCTCCATGTAGACATAAAGTATCGCACGCTTCACTTCATCATGAAATAAAGAGCAGAGGATCCATGTGTGCACAAGTTTCATTTATTATGTGTACTTCCTGTGAGCAGGTGTTCATTAGCAGGTGACTGAAGTGTGAGAAACTGCATGATTGTGACTTACAAACATTTGTTTCTGTGCGTCTGCATTTCTCTAAGCGGGTTTTATGGAGTGACACCTGCAGACCAGAAGAGTTATCATTTGATATTTATAACATTTAATATCTGAGCGTTATGTAAACCTGAGAAAAATAAGAAAATACTGATGGCTTTTATTTGGTGGAGCTGGACATTTTATACAGACTGAAGTGGAGAGTGTGTCCTCAGTTATAAGGTACGGATTTTAAAAGATCTTCAAACAGAGTTTGGAGTAAAATAAAGTAAACATAAAGGAATAGAAAGAAACTTCCACACAAACTTTACTGTATAAACAGCTTTTATGTGTCATGTTTTATAGTTTCATTGCATGTTTAGGGTGAACAGAACACACATTACTTGATTTGGATTGTATTCTTTACTGGAAACCAATAAAAGCCTTTTTAATTGTTACTATTTTTAAGTTGCTCTCAACACCGTGTTTAGATTTTGAGCGTGGGAGGGGAATCTTAAATATGGCATTTTCTACTGGAGTTTGGCGGGAGTTACGTGACAATAGCGCAACGCAGTGGTGTAATGTCAGTATTGCAGAAGACCGGCTGTTGGCACCAGAAGGAAAGCGAAGCATGTTTTTGTTGTGGGCGGAGGGAGCCAGCTCGTATCAGTGGGCGGAGCTTGTCAGTCTGCAGACTAGTGATGTGCGATACCACTGATTCCCTTTCTGATCTGATACCAAGTAATATTGGTGGTATCGGCGATACTGATCCGATACTTTGTACAAAAACTTATTTTTTTTACTGTATCTTTTATTGCATCTCAGATTATAGCATCATAATGATTACAGGACACCAGATTACTTGTTCTTATCGCTTAATAATGCAGAGTTCATCATATAGTAATAAAAAAACAGAAGTTGTGCCTATTTGAACACCTTGCCTGCCCGCAGCACTAAAGGACTCCGCGAGAGACGTCTGGCTCACCCTAGCAGCATCTGTCCCGCTCCTCCTCTTCAGTTCGCCTCAACATACCACACAAAGATCACTACTCTCCTCAGTGACAAGAATACCTATGAAGCCTTAAAACGAGACCCCACAAGCAACTACAAAAAGAAAGTTATAGCTTGCCTTCAGGACCTTGAAAGGGACAAAAATCATTGACCGCCTCACATATCATATCACTTTATCCAGGGGATGCCATACCCTGCATTTATGGACTTCCTAAGATCCACAAGGAAGGGGTCCCACTCAGACCCATTGTCAGGAGCATAAACTCAGCCACTTACAACATCTCGAAACACCTTGCTACCATCCTGCACCTCTTGTGGGGAACATCCCACACCACATCGAGAACTCCACCGACAACGTCCAGAAACTTACCCTGGATCCAGATGAAACCATGGTGTCTTTTGATGTAGTCTCCCTCTTCACTTGCATACCCACCACGGAGGGAATGGAGACCGTCAGCAAACAACTACAAGAAGACAGCTCGCATTAGCATAGCACTGTTAGCATGTTAGCTGTCCAACAGGAGTGAGACAAACATTAAATCACAAACATGACGATATTTAATACAAGAAATCATGATTAGATCTAAACAGCAGATATATATTTAAATCAAACAGATAGCTTATTAAATGCTTCTTTTTACCTTTTAATCAAAGGTCCACACCTGAACCTGTGCTCAGGTGTTCCTCTAAAGCAGGGCTCTCAAGCTGTGGGCCACTGCTGGCACTACGGTGGCCCTGAGAGGCCAAACAGACTGCAACTTAAAAAAAACATCAGCAATAAGAAAAACACTGCAAAAGTACACAAAACACAACGGAAATGGGAAAAAACACAAGTGTTTCTGGGGAGACAATAACCCGACGGACCAGTTGCAGGAACCCAAAACACGGTAGGCGTGTTTTATCATGATTCATATCATACTGATGACGGATCTTTAGGCTAATAGTCAAGCTAACACTATTACCTCTCATCTTTTCTTTCCTCACAAAACCGATAGATCCCCCACTTCTTTCAATTCTTACTATATTTTGGTTCCTGTAACTGGTCCGTCAGGTTATTGTCTCCCCAGAAACACTTGTGTTTTTTCCTATTTCCGTTGTGTTTTGTGTGCTTTTGCAGCGTTTTTCCTACTGCTGGTGTTTTCTTAAGTTGGCGCCGTATGGCACTGTCGTCTCATTGGACGGCCACTTTAGTGTTCAAGTAGTACAAACAAAACAAAACAAGTAAACACCCACAAAGATTTCCTAAAATGTTTGGTTTTTTAAATTTCAAATATTGTATAAAAACACACACTTTTTTACCCCCCTCTTAACAAACTGAAGCCTTTCATTGAGTCACCAAATGAACACCTGGCAGCACTTCTGTTATCATTGTGTTCGTATTTAACAAAATAAAAGCGCAGACATAAGTGTACACATTAGTTGTGACTCTCACTGAGCTAACACACCCAATCCCTCAGCATGCTTGTGCTCTCTGCTCATGTTGCCTTCATATTCAATCATTTTTGGGTTTTTTAAATAACTTATTTTAACATTGCACTCAACAACAAACAAATCCCCCCTAACAAAAAAAAGTCAAACATCAAACTGCGTTATATTTTTTCATGTCAATGTACGGGCCACAAGTAGGGGTGATACGGGCCGCGAGTTTGAGACCCTCTAGACTCACACCAAGCTGGCCCAATCACATCTTTGAGAAAACTCCCCTTACAGGTGGGATTGGCCCTTCAGAAAAAGAGTGACAAATGAAATGGATGGAACTGTGGCAGATGATGAAGATGGGCCCACTGAGGAAGACCTGTAGAGGCTGTGTGCAGCTGAAGCTAACGGTGGACTGTTAGCCCATTAAATGAGAGGTGATGGTCCACGTCTCTACACTGGAACATCAGACCTGTATGGCTCCTCCTGCAGGTGTATCTGAGCAGTCCCTCCAGAGCCTGGCTCCGGGGCATGGGGTCCTGGGCGAGATCATTAGGTTATTTGTTTAATTGGACTTAGTCTAATCCCACATTCACATTCATATTTCCCACGGAGACTCATCAGTCTGGTCCTGGTCGTGTAAACCGCTCGTAACTCGCCCTGATATCCAGGAGTTACTTTATTCTGACAGTTAAATATTACAAAACAACACTGACATGAAGGTTTGTTTTCTGTATGTGACAAACAACAAGCAACGGGCCACTGAGTAACAAACTATATAAAAGTCATTAAATAGAGCACATTCCCATTAACTTCACTGAATTATCATGTTTCAATCCACCTGAATGTAATAATTATCTGAATGGGAAAATCGGGAGGAAATCCTCAGATCACTGTGAAAATGCTCCATCATCTCCACACAATAAATCCAGACGAGCGTGTGTGTAGTGCTGAAATCATGCTTTATTAAATCAGTAATGCACAAATCTCAAGGAGGAGGAAACAATTCTACATCAACAGATCAATGAACTCAAAGTGCAGGGCGAGACTTAACTGCTTTCTCTTCACGGGACATGAAGTCCCTGTGGCGAACGAAGGAGACCCTGACTACTGACACGGTGAAACGACTAAAAGCTACAAACACTCAAACACAAAGCATGTTGCTAACTGTCCTCCGAGAGACGGCGCTGCTTCTGCACAGAAGAGCCGGCTCTGACTTTCTCTTCACTTATTTGGCCAGGAGATGTTCTGTTTTCCAAAGCCAGGCCGGCCGTCCTGCGCCAGAAGCAGCGCTCTTCATTAAAATGATCTTAACGCTCCGAGTGCAGGCCGCTCACACTCGGAGCCGGTCATCAAATTGTGGTGGTACGACACAGTCGGTCTGAGCGCAAGGCCGTTTTGCGCTGCTTACACGAGGGTAATGAAAACAGCACTCGGGGTCTTACGCTCATGGTACAATTCATATGAAACTGTAATATCCCACGCTCAGGAGCGCGTCCAAAAAACAATAAAATAAAATAAAAAACGTTGTCCTTCTGTTTCTGATTTATAACGTCAGCAGGGAACCTCTCTACCTGCCGAGGCAATCTTAAAGACTTCAACTTACCGTTGAGGCACAGATTTTAGTTTCTTGGTTTCACAGGGTATTCGTTCCAGCGGAAACTTTCTCCTGTTCAAACATTTGTTCTTTTGTTTCAGTTAATATTATATTGTCATAAATAACAATGCATACATTTCCCATAACCGTTAAATTCGGCTATATACATTATGTACATGTCACAGAAACGTCTGTCAAAAATCCTAAGTCATAACTGTCCAATATGGCACATTTTATAACAACTTTAGACTTTAGTCTAGTTTGGCATAAATTAATGTCAAAAATAGTTCATATTTACAAGAACAGAAATCCAGATCTTTATCAAGTAGGATTATTGGTGCTGCGTCACTAAATAAAGAGGTTCTGGATGAGGGAAACGGGGGACGTGAATTGACTTTGTCTTCCTTTTTACATGGACCGAATGCGAATGTTGACGGTTGCAGAGTCGGAGCCGAGCTCGTTGGACAGTCTGAGGGTGTACGCTCCGGCATCAGCCTCCTTCACTGCAGAGATCACGAGGGTGGAGAGGTCAGTGGTATTCTCCACGTGGTATCGCTCATCCCCATTGGGGAGCGTCCGACCTGAGCGGACCCACTGGACAGAGGGTGTGGGGTCTCCGGAGAACATCCCCACTACGGTTAGAGACTTCCCCGGCTCTGCGCACACATCCTCTGGAAGAGCTTCGACCTTTGGTGGAGTGCCTGTTAGAGAAGAGAACGTTGGATGAAGACTCTGTTACGGTCAAAGGCTGTGTGAGAACAGCAGGCTGCTGGTGACAACCATGTGTTTGTCTTCCCTCGTATGTTGTTGCAAACATATCAGTGCAGATATTTGAATCATAAGCTGATGATAACAGTGAGAGGAGGAAAGGAGAAATGCCACAATGCTTTCACCATTACAGTTGCTGTCACACAGAAACTCATTCGGGTCCTGCTGTCTGAGTTTACATGCACATTTTGAAAGTCGTCTCACCTCTTTTAATCCCCGTGGTGAGGGCCTTCAGTGAGGACGAGGACTCGGCATGCGTATGAGCAGACATTTCCATCATCGTGCTCCTGGAGCTCATGGAAACCACCGACTCGGCCATCGTGGCTGACATGCTAGTCGCAGACATGCTCTCAAATGAAAACCCGGCAGCAGCAGAGCGGGAGCTGCTGCTGACACTGCTGGCCTGCATGGAAGCTGCTTCCATGTGAACTGAGGAGGACATGAATCTTTTCTGCATGCTTGCTGCAGTGTCAGTAGAAGCTCTTTGTTCTGCGATTATAATTTCTGTCGGTTCTTCAACAAGAGCTGTAAGGATGCAGATGACAAGCACATGGCTCATATCACAATGTGCACAGTTACTGCAAACCATTTGCGTACACTGAGTGTAAGCTGAGGATGCTCAAGTGCCTTGGATTTCCACTAAATAGTGGCTTTGGTGCAGTCCAAGACTCATTAGCATACAAGCTAATTAAACACACTGTGACACGGTGTCTGAAACGCAGCGACGGTAACTTACTGAGGACGTTGAGGGACGCAGTTGCAGAGCACTGTCCAAACTGATTTTTGGCCTTTACTGTGTATTTCCCACTGTCTGCAACTGTGGCTTCACGTATCTCCAGAGTATACACATTCTTAGAGCGGCTCAGTTTCAAGTTTGATGTGACAGATATCTGCAAACAGTTAAGTAATTTAGAATTGGCTTAAAGACTAATTCAACTGACTGATTTCCATAAATCTTCTGAAGAAAACACTCACAATCATGTTGTCTTTCAACCACTCCACTTCAGGAGAAGGCTCTCCTGCAATTTCACACATGAATTTCACATTTTGTCCTTCATTAACATTCTGGGACCTGGGCTGCACCAGAAAATGAGGCGCGTCTGATCGCTTGGTGGTGACCGTGGTGTTAAACTGACACCGGACCAGTCCTCGCTGTGTTTGCGCCTCACACGTGAGGATCCCCTGCTCATGCTCAGTCACCGTCCTGATGGTTAGGGTGTGGTCACTTCCAGATACTCCATATCTGTACTGCTCCGAGTTGGTCATTTCAACCCCGTTTAGGATCCATCTGACGTCAGAGGCACCAGGGACGCTCGCCCTCAGTGTTAGAGACTGGCCCTCTGTGATCGACATCTGGCTGTGGGAGGTCTTCACCTCCTTTACAGAAGACGAGATTTCTTCATGGATCATTTCTCTTTTTACAACTTCCTCAGAGATTTCAGCTTTTGTTTTGGAGCTCTTTGAGCCTAGAAAAGACATAAGAAAGACATTATGTCAGGAAAGAGTTTAAACTAGGCGTGTCAAACTCATTTTACAGCCATCTCCACATGATAACGAAAAAGCTGCTGTGATAAAGAAAGAAATCTGTCAGCACGACTCTTTGGAGTTAAATGGGAGAACACGCATGAGGTTTAAGGCCTGGACCTTTTGTCCAACACAATGGAAAATGGCTGAGAATAAAAATGGGTATCACTTTACCCAGCTCCTAATTTCTAAAAATTCTGCAGTCTCCAATTTCACTGAAATGCAGACGTAATTTTGACACCTCTGGTTTAAACATTTGTAGGTGTACAAATCAGGTGTAGACTTACCTTGTACACTGACAGTACACATAGTTGAAACTGCTCCAGCGCTGTTTGTAGCAGTGCACTTGTACACCCCACTATCAGAGGCCTCCAATTCATAGATCTCGAGATGAGCTGAGCCAGAATCCTCAAATAACTCATACTTTCCACCTTGAGACAAAACCTGCCCATACAGAAAATATGACTGGATTTCTAAATAAGGTAAATATGATGCATTTCCCTCAAATATTATTAAAAACAAATTCTGGAATAGTTCAAGTGTTTGATTAGGTTACCTTTCCATCCTTCATCCACGAGATTGTAGGTGTGGGCTCTCCTGTCAACTTTACTGACAGCTTCACAGCAGAATCAGAGTACGCTGTGATGTCACTCAGCCCAACAGAGAAGGACGGCTTCTTTCCAAGAGGCGGTGACATCACTCTCTTTGGCTTGATTGGAGAAATCGCTCGTTCCTTCTGAGATGTGACTGGGGATTTGGGAGTAGGAGATTTTGGGGTTGGAGATTTGGGTGTTGGAGATTTTGGTGTTGGGGATTTTGGTGAGACTGGAGACTTCACTCTCTGTGGTGACTTGACTGGCTCAGGGGATTTCACCCTCTGGGGAGATTTGACCGGTTCAGGGGACTTTGCAAGAGGGGATTTAGCTTCTGGAGAAGTTATTCTGGGAGGGGCAACCACTTTCTCCTTTGACTCAGACTTCCGGATGGTCAGGGTGAAATGGGCTTCTTGTTTGCCTCCAGCGTTTTCGACTAAGAGAGTGTAGCTGCCTTCATCTGACATCTCAACAGAGGAGATCTCAAAGGAGGAGTTGTACTGAGTAGACACAATGTGGTGTCGGGCAGAGGGAGCAACAACTGCTCCTTCACGCAGCCAGCTTATAGAAGGTGCTGGTTCGCCATCCACATCACATTCAAATCTGGCAGTGTGTCCCTCCTCTAAAGTGAGGGACTGTGGCTTAGTCAGAATTTTGGCAGGGACACTGGGCTTCTCCTTTGGCTTCTCAACAACAGTAGTGGTCTCCTTCACAGTCTCAGTTACAGCTTCCGTTACTGATGTTTTAGAGGATGAGACGTGATATACCTCTGTTTTGGTCATCTCTGGCAGATGGGCAGATGGAGGCTCTTCATCTTTGCGAAGTGAAGAGAAGGCAGCGTATTCATCTGCTACATCTAGTGTGGCATAGTCAGAAGTCTCTCCTTTGGCATTCTTGCAAACCACACGGTAGGTGCCAGAATCTTCAGTCATACAGTTGATGATCTGGAGAGTCAGGACTCCACTGATGTTGGTCATGGTATATTTGCTGCTCCCATGGATTTGTTTTCCATTGTGGAACCACTTGACCTCAGGTTCAGGTTTGGCCTGGATATTCAGGGTAAATCTTGTGTTGGACCAATAAGGTACACGATGAGATCGCATCCTGACAGTAATCCGTGGGGGATGGTCAAGGCTGAAGGGTGCTTGTGTCACCACCTCAACCTTTCTCTCTACAGATCTTCTCTCTGATCTCAGAGCCTGCTTTCTCTCCTCATACCTGGACATGAAGTCAACCTTAGGGAGTGTCACATCTGTCTTGACAGCCTTTTCTGGGGTAGGGGATCTTTTCCTCACGGTCTCTGGGAGCTTTTTGATTGGTTTAGGGATATATTCTGAGGTAAAAGCTGTCAGGTGCTCAGATTCTGTGACTTCAGAGATTCTTGAAACAGCAACAGTGCTTTCCTTTTGTGAGATTCGTGTCTTCTCCTCAAACTCCATTCGTTTGAGTTCACTCTTGTAAGAGGTGATTCTCTGAGCAGTCGTGTGTGGCCGCAGCAGCTCCTGGTCCTCTCGTTCTTCATACACCCTCTGCTTTTGTCTTGGAGGTTTATAAGTTGTTTTGTCATGACGCTGGCGGAGATCAACAAAACTTGGGCCAGCCTCATATTTGGATGGAATTCTGTAGGAATCATATCTGTGAACTTCTTCTTCCTCTTCATCGTCACCGTAGGTCCTTCTAGGAGATGAGGGACGCAGGGCAGACAACTCAAAGCGAACTGGACTAAGGCTAGGTGGAGAAGCGGAGTAGCCAAGCTCCAGTTCTTCCTCCAGACGAAGCCTCTCCTCCTCAGTTCTCTTCATGGACAGATACTCATTCACAGGAAGCAGCAGCTCCTCATCTGACAGGTCACCTAGAGACCTCCTCCTGATTCTGTGGTAGGTCTCCATCTCAGGAGAAGGAGTGCGATGCCTTGCTGGCCTCACAGTCTCCAAGTCATCCTGAGTCATAGATGAAATGCGCCACTTTGGCTTATATTGGTCCTTAATCCTGATTGGTACCTCGTAGAACTGCTCCCACCGAGACAGACGGATACGCTTCATCCTTTTCTGTGGGATTTTCTCCATTGGCTCAGGGAATTCATACTGATCCCGCAATTTCTTATACCATTTCATGTCAGAAAGAGGTTTGAAGTGTTTTATTTCTACATCTTCTTCAAGAACAGCTGGGTTAACGATACGAGGTGTGGGGACAACATAGGGCATACGCAGTCTCTTCTCATCTGCTCTCTTCTTCCTCTCCTCTTGCTCTTTCTGTATCTCAGCTTCAGTCTTCTCACCCTTCTTAGTTGTAACAGCAGGTTTAAACATGGTGGCGGCTTCCCTGACAGCTTCTACTGCTGCAGGTGGTAGGGGGGTGACAACAGTGCCAGCCAAAATCTGAGAGAGCCTAACTTTTTTGTCTAATTCTTCTTTTCTGGCAATCTTTTGCTTCTCCTTTTCACTGGGCTCATATTCCTTCTTTACATGAGCGGTGCGCTCCACTTTCAGTGTGGCCTGGCAACTGGCGGATCCAGCAGAATTGGTAGCAGTAACTCTGTACACACCAGAATCCTCAGGAAGAGTGTCCTTCACATGAAGAATGTAGTAATCCAGGCCCTCATGGACAACCTCGATGGATGGTCCAAAGGCTAAAGGCGTGCCATCCTTCTCCCATTTCAGTGATGGACGACCAGATACTCTGATCTCAAAACGTATGTCCTGGCCCTCCTTACAATCGATATTTGCAAGCACACGTTTAAACATGGGCCTCAGGGTGAGATCTGCTGGTTTAGGTCGAGGAACAACAGTGAGACGAGCCTTGCAGCTGTCATCCCCATACCTGTTACGGGCCACAACGCTGTACTCTGCATCATCTTCGGTCTCCACATTGTGGATAATCAGCTGGTACAAGCCCTTGTCACTGATGAAAGTGTATTTCCTTTCATCATGTCCAGGGATAAGCTTTTGTCCAGATTTGTGCCAGATGACACGAGGTTCAGGGTGCACAGTAATGGTAACACCAAAGCGCACATCCTCACCCATATAAGCTGTATGGTTGACCAGAGGAAGTGTAAACTCTGGTGGCTTCTGAAGCATTCTGGCAGTATCTACTCTGCGCTTTGTTCTCTTAACCACACGGGCAGTGAAGAAATCGCGGTAAGACCTAACACTGCTGATAAACAGCTCAGCGTAGGCACTGTCCTCACCATACTCATTTACAACCTTGCATCTGTACGTGCCATCATCTGCTCTTGTGACCTTATTGATGGTGATTACTGCCAGACCATCTTCATATTCAATTTCATACTTGTCACTAGCTTCAAGTTGCTTGACACCACAGTACCATGTTACTTCAGTAGTGCTATCATAGTTGTCAATGTTGCAAATGAACTTCACGTTGTCACCCTCATTCACCACTGCGTGGCCAATCTGCCCTGCAAGAGGACCATGTTCAAATGGTGCAATTTTCACCTTCGCAACAAAGACGCCACGCTGAGACCTAATGGAACCCCCGCTAGCCACACGGGCACCAGAGACAACAGTGTTCCACTCTTTCCTCACCATTGTCTGGCAGTATCTCTTGTGCCTGCCAGTTGGGATTGCTCTGGCACTGATCTCCTCTGCAGGTTTGGTGAGCCAAGGATGTGCCAGTGCCTCAGCTGCAGTCATCCGATGCTTACGCTCCTTTGTCATTAAGCGGTCTGTGAAGTCTAGTGCTTCGACACTGACTTGCTTGAAGGATTCATCATCATAGCTGTAGGCTGCACTGGAAATGTTGTCGATCGTCTGTTGGTTGGTTTCAGCTGTGAACGGATTAAGGCCACTGAGAAGCACATAGGCGAGAACACCAACCGACCACATGTCAGTGACTGTGCTAACCATGTCACACTGGTGGATCTCAGGGGCAGCATACTCTGCTGTGGTATATTGAATCTTGATTTGGTCTCCAGGAGTCAGGTGTCTGGACTGTCCCAGCTCAATAATCTTCACATTCGAGCTGGTTCTAGTAGTGTATATAATATTCTCAGGTCTGATATCAAAGTGTCCATAACTCTGAGTGTGAAGGAACTCAAGAGCTGAGCAGACTTGCCTGATGTAGTTAACAATTTCACGCTCATTAAGTTCAAACTCTGCTATACTGAGGCGCTCAAATATGTCAACACCTGAGATGAAATCATAGATCATCACCAGCTCCTCCGGGCTGTCGAAGGACTCGTGGAGGAGAAGGTAATTGGCATGTCTGGCCAAATTCAGTGTTGCAATTTCTTTCTTTACTAATGTCTGATCAGCACCTCTCACTTTGACAAATTTAGCCATGTAAGTCTTTTCAGAGCTAATTTCAACACAGCGGTGGACAATGCCGAACTGCCCTCTGCCCAATTCCTCTGCAATGGCAAATTTGTTGTGCAGATTCTTGGCATCAGAGTGTGGAGCCTTGCTCCTGGGGACATATCCTGTATCATCAACCTCCCTGTCATAGAGCAGAACTCGGGATTTGTCCTCTTTTGTCATGACAGGTCCGCTTGACTCAGATGGGGCACTCTGTCCAAACTTGTTTTCAGCAATAATTCTGAACTGATAGCTCGTTCCGCCAAACAGATTGGTAACTGTGTAATGGGTGTCACGGGACTGGGCAACACGCTGCCACCTCTCAGCTGTGGTGGGGCACTTCTCAATGATATAGCTGATGACCTTACTGCCACCATCATTTGCTGGTGCCACCCAGTTCAGTGTCACAGAGTCTCTCGCGACATCACTGGCTTTGACACCACGTGGAGGATCAGGCACATCAGCTACATCCAGCTCAACTGTTTGCTGGTCAATGCCAAATCTGTTCTTGGCACAGACGATGTAAAAACCAGCGTCCTTCTTCTCCACTCCATTGGGAAACACCAAAGAAGTGAATGATCTGGTGACAATGACCTGGTAGTGTCCATTGCTGTCAATTAGATCTTGTCCTTTTTGCCATGTGATGACAGGATCTGGTTTTCCACTGAAAGGAATCTTGATATTAACCACCTCTCCACGCAGGGCAGGGATGGCTTCCTTGTCCTTCAGATTCTTTGGCAGGTTGATCTTGGCAGGAACTAGAAATCAGGAAAAAGTTGTTTGAGATTTCATGATATATATGAATCTAAATAGCTCTTATAATGACATTGTTTTTTGTTTTTTACATTCCATAGTTATTTTTTTTTGTGTAAGACAGCATTTTGGAGCTTACTTTCAACATCCAGAGAGACAGTGGCACAGATGGAGCCTCCCTGGTTGGTGGCCCTAATCTGGTAAACAGTGGAGTCTTCCTCGTCAGCCTCTGTGATGACCAGCTGATGGTAACCTCCCTTAAACTCCTGGATCTTGATCTTCTTTCCATCAGAATGGACCTCTTTTCCTCGTCTGAACCATTTAATTACAGGCTTGGGCTGTCCTGTAATCTTACAGACAAGGGTAGCATTGCTCTTGTACTTGACACTCATGTTCCTCAGCTCCTCCTTAAAGGCAGGAGCACGGATCTCGACAGCTGCGGCTGGAATGATGGGAGTGGTCTCCTCGCTATAGTCACTTTGCCCTCCAAGATTCTCGCATTTGACACGGAAGATGTGCTCAACACCCTCGGTCAGGCGCTTCACAGAAAAGACTGTTTGTTTGATTTCATCTGTGGTCACTGGAGTCCATTCAGTCCATTCCCGCCTGTCCTTTTTGTTCTTCTTCTCCAGGTAGTAGCTCTTGATCTTGGATCCACCATCACTGAGAGGAGGTTTCCAGGAAACCACGCAGGAATCCTTAGTAATTCCAGAAACAACTGGTGATAGAGGTGGCGATGGTCTCTCTGTGAAAGGAATATATATTTATGAAACCACTGTCAGTATTTCGCATCTCTGTATATGTGACCCATTGTGAAATATTGCCTTTTATTAAACATACCCAGCTGACTCTTGATGAGGATCGGGCAAGTGAGCTCCAGTGGCTTGCTGTTGCCATAGCGATTCTGGGCATAGACCCGGAAGAAGTATCCAGCACTCTCGATGAGGTTGGGCACACGGCAGGATGTGCCATTGATGGATGACGACACCAGTTCCCACTCTGAGCCCTCCCTGTCCTCACGCTTCTCCACAATATAGTTCGTAATCATGCAGCCACCGTCATCTTTGGGAGGCTTCCAGCTGATGATCACTGAGTTCTTCAGCAGGGCATCCAGAACAATGGGACCCTGAGGTATATCAGGTTTGTCTAGGAATAGAGGTATGATATATTTACAAATTGGATAATTTCACGCTTACAAATGTATGCATTGCTGCACTTTCCTTCCCACTGTCGCCAAAGTGCTTGCTTGTAGGGGGTTATACAATTGTTGGGTTTTTCTATGTATGTATTATTGTAGGGTCTACCCTACAATATAAAGCACCTTGAGGCGACTGTTGTTGTGATTTGGTGCTGTGTGAACAAAACTGAATTGAATTTCTGGAGGTAATTAACATAGAACATACCGTAGATTTCAACACTGAATGCGGTGTCAGCTCGGCCAAAGTGGTTGTGCAGTCTTATTCTGTATTTGCCTCCATGGACTCTGCGCTGCACGTTCTTGATGACCAGATGTGTGTAGTGCTCAGTGGTCTCAATGCTTATGTCTTCTGTGTTTTCCAGAGTCTTTGCCCCATGCAGCCACATGATCTTTGGCTCAGGACGGCCAATGTAAACAGCATGGATACGCAGAGTAGTTCCGAGGCCAGCAAAATGGATTTCCTTCAGTGGGTAGTCAGGGTGGAATGATGGCGCCGCCTCCAAAACCAACATGCCTGTGGTCTCTGCTTCTCCAGCGTCATTGATGGCCTTGCAGGTGTATTCGCCTTCATCTTCCTGCTGGTCAGTCATAATTGACAGGGAGTGGTTGCGGCCGTCAGAGCTCATCTCGTACTTGCGAGACTCGATAATTTCCTTGCCTGCATGATACCACTTTATTTCAGGAACGGGTCTTCCAATAATCTGGCACTTCATAACTGCAGGCTGGCCAAGTTTGGCAGTTACTTCATCCATTTCTTTTCTCAGGCTTGGTTTAGTTTCAGCTGGAAAAACAAAACAAAGAAGCATATTTATAAAAAAAATAAACAGCATACTCTATATATGGTAAGTCTGTCTAAATATGTCTTTTTCATACTGGTTATTTTTTTTGTAATAGTATTGTATTGAATTATAACATTATAACTTATAACCATACCCATGGATATGGTCTGTACCAGTGTGCATACATTGTATATAGTGGTATATCACTAGTTGCCAAATAGGAATGTTTCTAGGTATTATCCCTGTAAATAAATATAAATTTAATAATAAATATATTCTTAGGTACTCACAAGTCAGCTTGGTTTTGATACATGTGGCAGTCCTACGAGGCCTGCTCATTCCCGTCTCATTCTCAGCAAACACCCTGAATTCATATTCTGTGGCCTCAGCTAGTCCACGTGCCGTGAACTCCTTTTCCTTAAGTCTCTCCTTGTTACACTTTTTCCAGGTGCTCTCTGTGGACTTCCTGTATTCCACCCAATAGCCCAGGACCTCCTTTCCACCATCACACTCTGGAGCTTGCCAGCGGATTGTTATGTTGTTGTTACTCACGTTCACTGTGTCAATTTCACCTGGTTGACTGGGCTTGTCTGAAAGGAGAGAAAAGGGTGAGCCTATTTAATGTTTTTTTCTCTTTTTAAAACACAGCGAGAGAGCCCACCTACCTACTTCAATATACTGACAAGATCAAGTAATCGATTGTACAACTGCAACTCATTACACTGATTACATAAGTTTACATAAGATTGTAATGTAATGTAATTTAAACACATCTGTTTAAAATCCCTCAGCGACCTAGTGCATTTCACTTCTAACATTGGTTGCCAAAGACCAATCACGGGTTAGTGGTAGGGTTTATGCTAGCTCAAGGCCCCCTCATGTTTCTAAAATGTGTGCTTATTGGGAATACCTAAATACAAAAGCTTTCACAAACAAATGTAATGCCAAAATGTGTGAAATTCCAGACGAAAGTTACCCACTTCTAGTTTCTGAAAATTTGCATGTGGCAGAAACAAACCCCAAACCTAACAAAAACGTTTAAGGACATGAGACTCACCGAATGGATCTTTGCATGTGACTGGGTCCGACACAGGACCTGCCTCACTTTCGCCTATGTCATTGACAGCAACAATGCGGAACTGGTAGTCCGTATCTGGGGTGAGTCCAGGTAGAGTAAACATGGTGGAGGTTATCTTGGCCTCGTGACGGGACCATGTTTCAGCAGACACCACCTTGTACTCAACAAAGTAACCAGTGATAGCAGATCCTCCATCATCCTTTGGTCTGGACCATGCAAGTGCCACTGAGCTCTTGGTGACATCCATAATCTCTGGTGGGGTAGTTGAAGGCTCAGGGGAACCTGATTTGAAAGATGGGGAATTTTTTAATTGTTTCTGAATACAAGCCTGAAGGGTTTGAAAAAAACAAAAAACAAAACAAGGAATACTTACAGAGAGGAGTCATGGGTACCACTGGCTGTTCAGACTTCAGGGATGCACTGATACCAAATGAGTTTTCAGCTGTGACCTTGAAGTGATACTCTGTTCCCTCCTTCAGGCCCTTAACAAGCAACTGAGTTTCAGTCACTCTACAGTCTACAGTATACCAGGCATTTCTGGTTGCCTCACGTCTTTCCACAATATAACCAAGGATTTCTGAGCCACCGTCATCAATAGGTGCCTTCCAGGACAGCCTGACAGAGTTGGCCTGAATCTCCTCAAAGACTATTGGTCCCTCTGGAGCACTTGGTCTGCCAATGACCTTCACCTTGATTTGGACTTTCTTCTTGCCAACCTTATTCTCCAGCAGGAGATCATAGACACCAGAGTCACTCCTCTCAGCTCCCTTGATTACAAGCTCACTGGCATCTTCAGTGGAGGCAATCATAGCCCTGGCAGACACTAAACCGCCATCCTTTGACCACTTGCAGGTTGGCTGAGGTTTACCTTTAATGGGTACAGATAATCTAAGCACTCCTCCGTAGCGGACCACGTACAGATCTTTGTATTTCAGCTCCAGGTCATATTCAGGAGATTCTGGAAAATATTGATACCAAAAGTTAGGTCCATTCTGTACTAGTTTTAGTTGTACACACATCATCTTGGAGAAAGTCTGTTTGTTCTTACCAAGCATCTCAGTCACAGTAACTGTTCCAGGCACTTCAGCGGGCTCTCCAGAGCCACCAGCATTGCAGGCCATCACACGGAATTTGAACTGCTCTCCTTGTGGCATGTTGGTCAGAGTGTACTCACAAATTAGAGATGGTGTGGTGTTGCATTTAATCCAGGCCATAGTGCCCACCTTCTGCATCTCAATCAGGTAACCATCTACCCTAGCGTCTCCCTCATCATCAGGAGGACTCCAAGCCAGTGACACAGAGGACTTTGTGGTATCAGTGATCCTTGGATTCTGAGGACAGCCAGGTGGATCTGGTTGGGGAACAGAACAATATCAGTATGTAGTCTGTTGCTCTTTTGTGACTTTCAATGTCAAGAGTCATGTCACACACATATGTCTAAAATTCTAGATTTATATCAAAATGTTGTCTTACCAATGGGATCTGTTGCCACTGCTGGTTTAGATGGCAGACTTGGCTTGCTAAGTCCTCTGGCATTGATGGCAGTGATTCTGTGTTCGTACTCAAGACCCTCGATCAGCTCAGTAGACCGGTATCTGGTCATGGTTACGGGGTTCTTGTTGGCACGCACCCATCTATCAGCCCTGACTTCTTTCCGTTCAATGATGTAACCAGAAACTTCAAGGCCACCATCCTCATCTGGCGGCTCCCAAGCCACAGTCATACCATCACGAGAAACATCGAAAACAACTGGACGTCCAGGTGGTCCAGGAATATCTGACGAGGGAAGGGAAAACATGTTACCACTGTTGCCATCATATGTATCAACCAAATATAATATTTAAAGGAATGATAGCGGTCTTACTCTTCATGCTTCTGCAGGTGACAATCTCAGACTGCAGGAATTCTCCAGTGCCGTAATGATTCACAGCAGCTGCACGGAAGACATACTCATCTCCCTCGATCAGGTTATCAAATTTAAACATTGGTCGGCTGACAGAGTCAGAGACAGGCACCCAACCAGGTCTGTGGGCATCACGCTGCTCCACCACATAGCCACTGATGGGAGCTCCACCATCTCTGATTGGAGGATCCCAACTGCAAGTGACGGTGGTGGCATCAATCTCGTCAAACCTGATGGGTCCCTTTGGCTCATCAGGTTTAGCTAGTAAATAAAGTTTCATAAAATTAAACGTTACACTCACCTGAATGTACGTAAAGCTAAATGTTAATATTACCTATACCACTGCCAATACAGAAATAGCTAGACTTGACTTGGTAGCAAAAATATAAGCAATACTAAATCAGGGTTGGTTTCTTACAGAGAATGACGACTTTGATGAACTCAGTGATGACACCAACAGCATTCTTCACCTCCAGGGTGTAGTCACCAGTGTCATCGATGGTGGTGTCAGACATCGTCAGTTTGGTGAACTTGCCAGTACTCTTGATCTTGACACGGTCTGTGATTTTTATCTTGTTGTCACCAAAGTACCAGGAGCAAACAGGAGGAGGTCTGCCGATGATAGGCAGGTCCAGATCCAGGGTCTTGCCAGCCAGCACATTGACAACCTTCTGAGGAATGCCAGAGAAGTCCACTACTGGCATTACTGGAAGGGAGAGATTAAAATATAGTTAGGAAAAAGTGTGAACTGAACAACAACTTTGTGAGTTTTTGTCAATTTTGCTTTGCCTTAAGCTGTAAAAACATTTTAACTGCAAGTAGTACAAGTTGGCTTTGTTTGTTACCTCTCTGTTCCTGTACAGTGACAGCTGCAACAAGTTCTTTGGGTTCACTGGCTCCTCGGCTGTTGATGGCTCTGATTCTGAACAAGTACTGCTCCTTCTCATTCAGCTTCTCAATGGTGTGCTCAAAGTCTGTGAGCTTCAATGTAGCCACCTTCATCCATTTGTCGGTACCAAACTTGCAGGCTTCAATGACATAACCTATCAGTCTGCTGCCACCATCATGTTCCGGTTTCTCCCAGCCCAGGGTGACAGTGCTCTTGGTGACATCAATCACTTCCAATTTTTGTGGTGGCAGAGGCACCTCGCAAACCAGGATGACATCTGGTGTCTCACAGGGCTCTCCAATACCATAGATGTTCTCAGGGAGAACACGGAAATAATACAGCATGCCCTCCATCAGGCCATCGATCTTGTAAGATGTTTTACTGCACTTGGCTGTGACTGTTTTGTAGGCTCTCATGGACGCTTCACGCCTCTCAATGATGTAATTGTTGACAGGAGCACCACCATCCACAGTTGGAGCATCCCAAGAGATGGTTGCAGACTCCTTGGTCAGTTCCTTCATTTTGATTGGCCCAGTTGGTCCAGGAGTATCTAAAGAAAAGCACATACTTTAGTCAAAAGGCCAGTTCATAAACGTTTCTGTAACACATTAAAAAAAAATCCATTCAACCTACCATAAACCTTAACCAAAATGCTGACTTCCTGTTTCCCGGCAGAGTTCTCCGCCACCAGAGTGTACCTGCCAGCATCGTAGCGGTTGACTTTGTCAATAATGAGAGTGGTGGAAGTGTTGGTGACCTCAATGAAGCCTCTGTTGTGGAGGTCAACACCAGGCTTGCTCCACGTTATTGTAGGAGCAGGACGACCAGTGACACGAACAAATAAGCGAAGGGAGCCACTGGCCCGCAAGCAGATAGTTTTCTTAAGGTCATCGTGGAGCTCGAAGTCAGGAGTTTCTGTGTGAGGTGACAATGACAGGTTTGTAATCTTGGTGATAAAGTAATGTCAAAGTTACCATATCTGGAAAGACTTGCAAATAAACTGTAGTGGAAGAAGAAATGGCACAACAAAATCAAATGCAAATGCATTTAAGTTTATGCTTTTCTAAAGTTTTACTTACCAATTCTCTCCACTGGCTCGGTCTCAGCACATGGGTCACTGAAGTCTCCTGTACCATTAATGTTAATGCCGGCCACTCTGAAGCAGTACTTCTTGCCTGCTGAAAGTCCGGTTACTACATACTCTGTGGTACGCAGGGTCTTTTCATGGGCCTTCTTCCATTCTTCTGCTCCCACTTCCTTCATCTCTAGAATATAGCCAATCACATCAGCTCCTCCGTCCTCTACGGGTCGGGACCAGGCCAGGCTGATGCTGTCAGCGTGTGTGTCAGTGATACGAGGAATAGAAGGAGGAGCAGGGGTACCTGAAGGAACAGCATAAAAAGATATAGTAGAGATATCATGATGCATTCACTGATAATTCAATATAAATGGATAAAAATGTGGAAGTTTTTGTTACTGAACAAACTCGACTTACATGTTGGCACTCTGCAGACAACATATAGAGAAACCTCGCTGGGCTCACTTTCTCCAGCCTTGTTGATGGCCGTCACTCTGAACTGGTAGATGTTGCCTTCAGTCAAACCGGACACTTTCAGCGTGGTGTCTAAGTGAGCACCATCCCTGTTCACCTTCACCCAGCGAGCACTCTTTCTCTCACGTCTCTCGACTAAGTAATGGATCAATGGGCTACCTCCATCGCTCTCTGGTTTCAGCCACTCAATGGTGGCAAAGTCCTTTCCTGATGCCAGGATCTCTGGAGCACCAGGAGGAGATGGCACAGCTGCAGGAGAGATGACAGGTGATGCAGAGTTAATTTACAAAGAATCTAGAGTAACTATTGTTGCAAATCAAAATACATCAAAAACCTTTTGATTATATGGAGGCACAAACCTGACAGCTTCTGTATCTCCATTTACTTTTGTTTAGCGTAAGAAAAAAGAAATACTTCTGGGACAGGAAAATGAAACAGACTTCCCTCTTTCAGTGGTGGGATGCATTAATACCATAAAAATGATTGCACTATCTAGTATCTCAACATTTTTCAGTTATCAGTTCAGCATTCCTCAGTGCTTTCCAACAACTACAGTGGACATTTAAGCCTGCACCCTGTTACAACATAGGCATAGTTGTTTAGGACTCCACTGCACAGCAAAAACATCACACAGCTCCTTAAACTGTCGGGACATTTACTGTCCTTCTTTAAGAAGCTGGGTTTTTAACTTCACACCATCCAGCAAAACTTGAATGGTGCATTTTCAGATGTATTCTGGGTAGACTGGGAGGTGAAGTGTGAATGAAAGTTTGAAAAATACCAAAACTATCACCTTGAATGGTCAGCATACTCTAATGTAATTCAGTGTTCACAGACTGTATTTTTCCCACTATATGAGATTAAACTACTTCTCGCCTCGTTTGCCAAATGTTTAACAGCATCTGTATCTCACACTTTATGATGCCAGGGCATTTTCTGACCCACACTGTTCAATCCTGGAAATCTGAAACAGACCTAATGTGGGTGAAGGAATTAGGAAATGTATTACAGATAGTCTTTGTCAAACAAAGAAAATCTGGTTACCGATCACCAGTCTGATTGAAAACTTGAAATGAATGTGTATTGGTACTACCAGTACTTGTGGGTTTCTCTTGTAGTTTTTTGTGTAACATTTAAAAAAGCAGCGCTCGGATTGTACGATGATGTCAGTAACTAACTAGGTGTTGTTTCATAAGGATGTGGCTGTTATACTTACTAAAGGTGTTTCTGGCGACCATGGGCTCTGACTGGAGATAGACTCCAGGCCCGTACTTGTTGACTCCCCGCACCCTGAACAGGTACTCTGTGTTTTTCATCAGCCCGGTGATGTTGCAGGTCAGTTCCTTGCATTCGGCATGCATTATTACCCAGTTAAGTCTGTTTGTGTCACGCCTCTCCACAATGTAGTGAGAGACGTCATCACCACCATCTTCAAGAGGAGGCTTCCAGCTCAGAGTGCAGGATTCCTCTGTTATCTTACTGATCTCAATGCTGCCCTCACAAACTCCAGGTGTGTCTGAAAGAAAGCCAGATGTACGAATGCTTAGATGCTAGGATGTTCAAAATTAACACGTCCAGTGTAATTTGTGAATGCATTAAAATAAATGGTTAAAAATAAAAAGCCACTCACCAAGCACTTTGACATTGACCTCTGCAGTTTTGGTTCCACTTACGTTCCTGACTGTGAGGATGTATTTTCCAGTGTCATCTCTGTCACAGAATTTGATGATGGCCATGGCTCTAGTCGGGGTATACTGCAAGTGGTACTTTTCACACAAGTCCAGCTCTCTGTTACCCTTGGACCAAGAAGCCTTAGGATCAGGTCTTCCACCCACTGCAGCATCCAGAACCAGGTCTGAACCAGCCCGGACCATCACAGTTTCAGAGAGCAGCTTGCTGTCAAGCTGGGCCTTTGGAGGCTCTGTCAAGTGGTTATGAAGTACAGGGTTTTGAAACTTTGTTTAAACTGAATTGACATGTCTTGAAAATATTTTGGTCTTGGTTTGGTTGTCTTGATGCATGCTCAATCATCCAGGTAAGTAAATCCCCAAAAGTTGATTCTGTTCATCTGGACGTTTTCAGTAGGAGAAACGTTTTGTCTTATAACCAGTACATTTGCATAATGGCTGAAACTAGCACCACTGAGTCAAATGTACTGGTTATAAGATTGGGGAAACCTGCAGTCAGCTGAGACTGAAGGAGTCACCTGGATGAGTGACAAAATGTTTCTCCCACTGAAAACGTCCAGATGAACAGAATCAACTTTTGGGGACTCGGTTTGATTGCTTACACCGATTTAGCAGAAAACACAAGTTTCATTTTACTGTGAATTTATTTTGTGGCATGTTGATGAAACTGTGTCATGGTCTCAAATCTTACCAAAGTCAGTTTTGCACTGCACAGAGCCGGTGGACTCAGAGGGTCTGCTGAAGACCTGGTTGGCATTCTTGGCAATAACCCTGAACTCGTAGGGCTCTCCCTCTCCCAGCGCAGTAACAGTATAGAAGTTGTCAGTCACATTGGTGTAGTTACACTTCAGCCAGCGGCCCTCGCCAGTCAACGTGTATGGCTTGCGTTCAATGATGTAGCCCACAATTGGACTGCCACCGTCATACAGTGGAGACGACCACTTCAGGGATACTGTGGTCCTTGTTACGTTGGTGACTTCAGGCTTACCCGGTGGATCTAAACAACAAATCAACAATGTTTGTCAGACATTTTTGTCTAAAAACATATTCATTTAGTAACTCTTCATGGTGTGATACTAAACTCACCAACAGGGTTTTGAGCAACTGCTCCCTTTGAGGCCTCACTAGCTTTGCTCAGTCCAGCACTGTTCATGGCATAAACCCTGAACTGATATTCCAGGCCTTCCACCAGACCTTCCACCTTGTAAGAGCACTCAAAGCAAGGGATCTTGTTCTCCCTCACCCACAGGATATTGTTCCTTTCCTTCTTCTCAATCCAGTAACCAGTCACCTTGCTTCCACCATCATGGTAGGGCTCCTCCCATTGCAGTGTCATTGTATTAGCAGTGACATTAAAGATTATAGGCTTTGTCGGTGGACCTGCAGGTGCTGTGATCAGAAATTAGATATTGCTGTTTTATTCAAGTTCAACATAAGAATCTTATGGAATAGGATGGAAATGAATATTATAAATTCATAAGCTCAAAAGTAACATTATAGAGTAACACTTACTATAAGGATGCTCAGCGACAATAGTCTCAGACTCAGTGGACTTGCTGACACCAAATCTGTTTTCTGCAGAGACCCTGAATGTGTACTGCATGTATTTGGTCAGGTTACTGACGTGGAGAGAGGTGCGCTTCACGCTGGAGTTGATGAGCTGCCAGGCTGTTGAGCCAGATTCACGCTTCTCTACGATGTAGTTGGTGATGTCAGTGCCACCATCATCTTCTGGTGGATGCCAGTTAACAACACAGGACTCAGAAGTAATTGATGAGATTTCTATTGGTCCACTTGGAGGACTGGGTCTGCCTGTGACATTAACTTCAATAGTAAACGTTCTGGTTCCTGCCACATTCTCCAGAGTCAGATGGTATTTCCCACCATCTCCTCTCATGGCCTCCTTAACTGAGATACTGGTTCTGTCCTTAGTAACTTTGATTGAGACTCTGTCTGTGTTTTTCAGCCTCATTTCCTCCAACTTCCAGGTGGTCTTAGGAGCAGGTCTGCCACTGATTGGAACATCGATGGTGAAAGTGCTTCCAGACCTGCATGTGATGAGCTGGTTGGTGATTTCACTGAGGTCAGCAGCAGGTTCAATGTGAGGCTCTTTGACCAGCACAGGAGCCAGAGTTTCCTTGGGCTTGCTATAACCAGCTTCATTCTTAGCCTTCACACAGAAGTCATATTCATCACCCTTGTTGAGCTTTTCAACAACATAGGTCAGATTTTTGGTGTTGCCAACAACTACCCATTTGTCTGTACCTTTTGGCCTAGCTTCAATGACGTAACACTGAATGCGACTACCGCCATCATGCTCTGGTTTCAGCCAGCCTAGTGACACAGAGTTGTCTGTGGTGTCGAGGATATCCAGTCTCTTTGGAGCTGATGGTGCTGCAGTGGCAATGACAGGCTCAGTCAGCTCAAATGCCTCACCCACACCATGCTGGTTCTCGGCTGAGACTCTGAAGAAGTATGGCACTCCTTCCAGCAGGTCCTGTATCTTTAGGTAGTGCTGTGTGCATTTGCTACCGGACTGCTGCCAAGTGCGGCGGCTAGCCTCACGCCTCTCAACAATATAGTGATGGATTCTGGCTCCGCCATCATTAAGAGGAGATTTCCACATAAGTGTGACTGAGCCTCTGGTCACCTCCATGAAGGCAACAGCCTCTGGAGGTCCAGGAGTGTCCATGACTTTTACAACAAATGTAGTAGCGTTGCTACCACTGGAATTTTCTAGGTTTACAGTATATTTGCCAGTATCATTTCTAGAGCAGTTTTCAATGCTCAGAGAACTGTAACCATCAGTAGTTGTTACCTCTGACATGACACTGAGCTCTCCTTCCTCCTTCACCCAAGTGGCAGTAGGAATAGGCTTTCCTCTGAAGTGGATGCCCAAGCACACTGAACCTCCCGCTTTGACAATGTGTGTCTGCTTAAAGGCAGCATCAATATCTACCTGTGGCACTGTTAGCCTATCTACTGCCTGAGCAGGCTCTGGAATTTCCTTGTCTTCACCTCTACCCACATGATTGACAGCTGCAACACGGAATTTGTACTCAGCCCCTGTCTGCAGACCTGTCACCACATAATTTGTTTCAGTTACAAGCTCCTCATTTACTCTCTTCCATTCCACCTCTTCTCCCTTCACCATTTCAATTATGTAGCCAAGAATCTCCATGCCTCCATCGTCAGCAGGCTTGGTCCATTCCAAACTGATGGAGGTACTGGTGGAGTCCGAAACACAGACCACTGATGGAGCGCAAGGTATATCTTTTGGCTCAGCGGCTTTGATGGGTAAAGAGATGTTGCTAGGAGTTCCAACACCAGCATCATTTACAGCCATAACACGGAACTCGTATTCCATATCCTCTGTCAGGTTGATAACCCTATGTGCACAGTCAGTAATAGGCTTCTTGGTGATCACCTTGTAGAACCGGACAGTCTTCTTTTCACGTTTTTCCAGGATGTAATAATGAATCGGGCTTCCTCCATCAGATTTTGGAGGAGTCCAGGACAAGGTGATGCTCTCTCCTGTAACTTCAGTTGCATCAGGAGTGCCTGGAGCATCAGGAGTGGCTGGGGAAACAATTTTAATAGTGAGTGGAAATGACTAAATAAATGTAATATAGATTTGAAAACTTCCATATGTTGATTTTTAAAACCTTCCAAAATGACAACTTACTGTATTGCATCTGTGCAATGATGGGACTGGATTCCAGAGGTCTGCCAACTCCAAACTTGTTAACAGCAGAGACCCTGAATTGATACTCATTAGTCTTAATGAGCTTGGTTGCGTGGAAGGTGCACTCCTTACATTCATCAGACACCAATGCCCACGAAATCTTGGCTGTCTCACGCTTCTCAATGATGTAATGTGAAATCTCAGAACAACCATCTTTCTCTGGTGGGTTCCAAGACAGACTGCACTTGCCCTCTGAGATGTTACTGAAAGTGATCGGTCCAACAGGCTCGCCAGGTGTATCTGTGTCAAATAGTTGTGAGAAAGTTAAGTTAGAATACAAATGAATAGAATGGTAAATATTGATACTGAAGTATAGGGAGAAAACTTTCAAAAATGCAAACCTTGGACTTGAACAAGGATGTTTTCCTTTTTGGTTCCAGACCCATTGGTAGCTTCCACAGTGTAGCACCCACAGTGTGAACGATCAGCATCCCTGACAAAGAGGGTGCTGGATCCAGGAACTGTAATAATGTCCATCATCTTTTTTGTAATCTCCACACCTTCTCGGAACCAGACAACTTTGGGAACTGGGCGTCCAGTGATGGTCACCTTTAGCCTGATGCTGTCTCCTGCCTTGACTGTCAAACCTTCAAAGTACTCTGGGCCAAACTCAATGTTTGGAAGAGCTGGTTTGGGAAAAAAGGCATTAGTTTACAGCGGGCAGCTTTAGTAAGCTGTGTAGAGGTAATTCTTGGAAAAATGAGCTGAGGAAAACATGGGTAGCAACCAAGGGAAACAAAAGCATTGGACTTCAACTATACTATTTACCCTTTAAACTCTGATTTAATGCTTCCCCAATATCTACACTGTCCAAGCTCTTTCCTGCTATTACTCACCATTTTCACTTCTGACAGCAATCATGCCAGAAGAGTTGGATGGAGGACTGACAACACCCATGGCATTTCTGGCAATGACCCTAAACTCATAGCGTTCATTTGTTGCCAATCCAGTGACGGTATACTGACAGTCGTGCACATCAGTCAAGTTGGCCTTGAACCAGCGTCCATGTCCTTGGCGTTTCTCGATATTGTATCCAACAATCTTGCTACCGCCATCACGTTTGGGTGCATCCCATTTCAGTGACACTGAGTCACTAGTCACATCAGTGTAATCAGGCTGGCCAGGAGGATCTGAAATGCATAATGCACCTTTTAACTCTTTGCCACAGTGTTTTTATTCCGACAACATTTTTCTCAGATTTTATACATAACATGCAAAATTTCCAGCATGTTGTATTTTTCTAGTGTAACAAAGGGATTTATGTCATGGTCTGAATTAATACTCACCAACTGGACTGACGGCCATGATTGGTTTGCTCTCATCACTCATTCGGCTGAACCCAGCATCATTCTGTGCATAGACTCTAAAGGAGTATTCAAGGCCTTCAATGAGCTCCAAAATCCTGTGATCTGTTTCTTTGATCAACATAGTGTTCACCTTTTGCCACATAATGCTATTCTTCTCCTTCTTCTCCACATGATAGCCCTGAATAGGGGTGCCACCATCATAGATAGGTTTCTCCCATTGAATGGTCATACCATCGTTGGTAACATTGTATACAATCGGCTTGCCTGGTGGGCCTGGTGGTCTGAATTGGTGCTTGGCAATAACCATTTGCGAAAGCAGAGGCTCGCTGACACCATACCTGTTTTCAGCACACACTCTAAACTGGTATTGGACACCTTTGATAAGGTTGGAGACTTTGAATTGAGTATCCTGTACACTGGAGGAGGCCATCTTCCAGTCATTTTGGGAGGTATCACGTTTCTCCACGGTGTAGCAAGTTATGTCTCCACCACCATAGTCATTTGGTTCATCCCATGAGATCATAATGCTTTCTGCTCTCACTTCGTCCAGTCGGATAGGTCCAACAGGCTTTGATGGTGGTCCCAGTGTGATGACATGGATGTGGAAGGATTTCCTGTTCACTTTGTTGTCAAGGGTTAAGGTGTATTTGCCCTCATTCTCCTTCTTCACATTCTTAATCATTAGGGTGGCTTTGTTTTCTGTTGTCTTGAAGCGTACTTGATCACTCTCTTTAAGCGGCAGGCTGTCCTTCATCCAAAGAACAGAAGGTCTGGGTTTTCCTTTGTATGGCAGTTCAATGTGCACATTGTGACCCAGGCGAATGCTGATGCTACCATGTGGATATTCTGTAAGGTCTGCCTCTGGTGTAATAATGTAGTCAATGACCTTGATAGGTCCAATTTCAACAAAATCTCCATGTCCTTTCTCATTCCTGGCAGCAACTCTAAAGAACATGTTCGAGTGCTCCTTCAGTTTCTTTACCTCAAACTCACACTGTCTGCTTGTTCCTCCTAATGACCAATCTTCATTCTTGACCTTCTTCTCAATAATGTAGTCAGAGATTATACTACCACCATCGTAATCTGGCTTAAGCCACTGGAGAGTGATGGAGGTCTTTGATGAATCTTTCATTGAAACCTCCTTGACTGGGCCTGGAGTTTCTGTAGCCTTAACAGGTTCATGTGTTTCACATGGATCACCGATACCATTCTCATTCTCTGCTAAGACACGGAAGAAGAAGGATGTCTTTTCAGAAAGATCTTCAATGGTGTATGTTGTGTCTGTGCATTTGTTTGTCACCATAGAGTATGATCTCTTGGATGAGTCTCTCTTCTCCACAACATAGTTAGTAATCTCTGCACCGCCATCAAGAAGTGGGGCCTCCCAGCAGAGAGTCACCTTTCCACGGGTCACCTCCTTCAGGACCAGGTTCCTGCACTGAGCTGGGGTGTCTTGGACTTTGACAGACAGAGTCACTGTCTTGGGCTCACCCACACCATTCTCTATCTTTACTGTATATTTTCCAGTATCAAGCTTGGTCACCTCACGCATAACAAGGACTGTGCTTGTGTCTGAATGGTGGAATTCATATTTGGGATCGTGGTCAATGCATTCTTCTCCCTTGCTCCAAGAGGCAGTGGGCGCAGGTCTGCCCTTCAATGGAACAGACAGCTCAACATCCTTGCCGGCCTTCACAATGTAGTGAGTTCTCATGGCAACATCAGAGTCAATCTGGGCCTCCTCTGGGAAGGGAGTATATAGAAGGTCATACAGGGAAACTATATGTGGGCAACATGAATACAAAACAAGAAACACATGCTGTACACTGAACACACGATTTATTTTATTTTCAATAAGTAATGAATTTACCCAGGATGTCCTTAGCCTGCACTGGTTCAGTCATCTCCAGAGGCTCTCCGCGACCAGCACAATTGACAGCAGAGACTCTGAAGAAGTAGTTAACATTTGGTTTTAAATTGTGGACAACATATTCTGTTGTTTTGACCTCTCCTTTGGAGGTAATCATAGCCCATTCTTTTTCTCCCTCCACAAGCTTTTCCACCATGTAACTTGTGACCTCACTTCCTCCATCCCATTCTGGCTTGGACCAGCCCAAAGTGATGGAAGTCTTGGTAGAGTCCACCACCTTTAACTTGCAAGGCTCATCTGGTGGATCTGTAAGTACCATGTATTTGTTAAGTGGAGTGTAGATTAGTAATCATTACTTTTGTGGTAAATCTGTGAATCTAAGTGTACTTACCAACTGGGTCAGCAGCCTTATAATAGTCTGATGCATCAGAAAACGGTCCCTCTCCGGCCTTGTTAATGGCACACACACGATACTGGTATTCATTTCCTTCTGTCAAGTGATAAACTGTCTGTTTGGCGTCAGTGACAGGCTCTTTATAAACTCTGATCCAGCGCAAGCTCTTCTTGTCTCGTCTCTCCAGGTAGTAGCCTGTCACTGCACTGCCTCCATCCACACCTGGTTTGCCCCATTCCACCACCATAGTGGACTTTGTAATGGTGGTCACCTCAGGGGTATGAGGCTGCCCAGGAGTTACTTTAAGAACAGACAATAGGTATGTTAAGATCACATAACAGTGAAGTTAATGACAAAAAAGCCTGATAAAAATAAAATGTGTTAAAAAGAAGAAGAAACACAGAGGATAGCTGCTGTGGATTCCATGCCACTCTAGTGAAACCTACCAAAGGCATTCTTAGCGATGACAGACTCTGACTCCAGTGGTTCTCCAACTCCATACTTGTTAACACCCATTACACGGAATACATACTCATTTCCACGGACCAGCTTGCCAACAGTAATGTACGTCTGTTCACACCTTTCAGAAACTGTTGACCACACCACTCTACTGGTTTCACGTCTTTCAACAATGTAGTGGGTGACTTTGGAGCCTCCCTGGTCACACTCAGGCACAGGTTCCCAGCTGAACATAATTCTTTCTGCTGTGATGGAGTTGAAGTTAATAATGCCAGCTGGGGGTCCAGGTTTGTCTAAGGAAAGATAAAAAATTTAAATAACATGGATGGATGAGATGATGGAGGCTTTATAGTCTGGATTTAAACTGGTTAGGAATTCACATGTAAGGAAATGTGAGAATCAATAACTTATAAATACCTAGGATTTCAGTTCTGATGGTTGCAGATGCTGACCCCAGAACATTCTTAATCTTGATCTCATATGAACCTGTGTCATTGCGAGTTGCATCCTTGATCAGAACAGCAGAAGAGTCCGTTGTGCTTTCAGCAGACACAGTGGAGGTTGTTACTAGCTCCTTTCCATTCTTGAGCCACTCAATCGTTGGTAGAGGCTTGGCAATAATTCCTACTCTGAGCTTAACTGTAGCTCCAGCTTTGTACTGAACTACATCCAGGTACTCTGGAGGAAGGTCTATAGCTGGGGCACCTGTGACGAGAAACATTTATACAAGTGTATAAATAAAATTATTACAAGTAATTAATAAATGTCCATATAATTTTGGATTATATGCTCACCACATGCATCAACACAAGTCACTGGTCCAGCAATGAGAGATGGATTGCTGACAGACCCAACTGCATTCTTAGCATAAACTCTGAACTCATAAGACTCATCCTGGGTCAGTCCAGATACAGTGAAACCCATCTCAATGATGTTTGTAAAGTTGGCCTTCACCCATCTGCCGCTGGGTGCCTCCCTCCTTTCTACACTGTAACCAGTAATCTTACTGCCACCATCATATGGAGGCCTCTGCCAGGCCAGACTGACCGAGTTCTTCGTGACTTCGGTGACATGAACATTTGCCGGGGGTTCTGTGTTATTAAAGTGAGAAAGATCAAAGTTTAATAAAGTAACTGCAAAGATTTTCAGTTGTAAGCTCATATAATTAAGGCATAAAACTGCAAAAATTAAATACTTAAAATACTCACCACAGGCATCAATAGCAAGCACTTCTTCTGATGTTTTGCTCATTTTTCCAATACCAGCAGAATTTTCAGCTGCCACCTTGAATTCATAGATAAGACCAGGGCAGATGTTTGTGACACGCCACTGGTCTCCTGGGATTGGGGTCTTATTGATTTTCTGCCAAAGGATGCTGGTCCTCTCTTTCATCTGGAGATGGTATCCAACCACAGGGTTTCCACCATCATTGACTGGCTCATTCCAGCAGACTGTGAGACTCTCTCTAGATACATAGCTAACCCAAGGTGTGGATGGAGGTCCAGGCACAGCTGTTACAGAACACACTCTTGTTAGAATACATTAACAAAGATGCCTTGTTCATAAAACAGAAGAATTGGAATTGAAGATACAGGATAAAGTGGCTTACTGTATGGAAGCTTTATCATGACCGGCTTGCTGTCAATATGATCACTGATACCATAACGATTCTCAGCCTTAATTCTGAACTGGTACTCCTCTCCTTTAGTCAGCTTAGTCACCTTGATCTCACTTCTGGCAATGGTAGTCGACACCTCTACCCAGGCAGGAGTGCTGGTTTCACGTTTAAGAACAACATAATTCGTAACAGGACTGCCACCATCGTACTCTGGAGGAGTCCATTTCAGACACACTGTGGTCTCTCCAACTTCTCCAATCTGAACTGGACCAACAGGAGGTCCAGGTCTGTCCAGCACAACGAAGATAATGAAAATCTTGGTAGTACCTCCTGCATTTGAGGCTGTGATTTCATATTTGCCAGCATCCACTGAAACACTTTCATTTAGGGTGATGATTAAACTATCTGGAGTTACTTCTGTCAGCAGCCTCTTGGATCCCTTAATGACAATATTGTTCTTGGAAACAGTGACCTTTGGCATGGGCCTGCCAGTTAATGGAATCTCAAAGGTCAAATTGGATCCTGCTCTTACATAAACTGTATTCTTGGGGTAGTTCTTTAGGTCAAACTCTGGAGCCTCTGTTGGAAAAGAAAAATAATAACACAGGACTGTGGTAAGACATGGCAGCTTAGTAAAACAATAATAATGTTTATTATTTCGGAAATACCATAGCTTTTAAAAACTTGCCCATTTATATAAATTAGGATTATTATAATTATTATAATTAGGATTAATTATACATAGACATAGCATGTCAGAAATGTACATTATGTAATATGTGTAATCTGAAAAGTTTAAAGTAAAGACAGCAACAATACCGTGTATTTCCTTGACAATAACTGGAACGATCATCTCCTTGGGTTCACTAAGTCCAGCATGGTTCTCAGCACGGACTCTGAAAAAGTACTCAGCACCTTCCCTAAGGCTCTTGATTGTGTGAGTCAAGGTCCTCACAGTGGCACATTTCACCCATTTGGTCTGTCCTTTCTCCAGGGCATCAATAAGATAACCAGTGACTCTGCTTCCGCCATCATATTCTGGTCTGGTCCAGGCAATAGTAACACTGTCCTTGGTAACATTTGCAACTCCAAGTTTCATAGGTGGACTTGGTACCTCTATAACAGACAGCAGGACAATTTTATTAAGGCCATAATATTGATTTATGATGTTTTTAAAGAAAAAACCTTTACAAATATAAGCACTCAGTGCATATGTTACCTGTGATCTTTGTCCCAGCCTTAGCGTCCTGAGGGACACCCACTCCATACTCATTTTCTCCAATAACTCTGAAATAATAGATAGCTCCCTCCTGTAGGTCTTCCACCTTGTAAGTCAGAGTGTGGCAGTTGCCAGTCACAGACACCCAGGCTTTCTTACTGGCCTCACGTTTTTCAACATGGTAGGCCTTTACTGCATCACCACCATCATTCTCTGGAGGATCCCAAGTGAGGGTTGCAGAATCCCTGGTCACTGAAGATACTTTAACATTCACTGGGGGTCCTGGAGAGTCAAGTACTTTGACAACCACAGGCAATGTTGCTTTTCCTAGTGGTGATTCAATTGTGACAGTGTATTCTCCAGAGTCATTTCTAGTTGACTTCTCAATAGTCAATGAAGTGCTGGATTCTGTTGATTCAATGGTTCCTCTGACTTTCAGATCAACACCCTCCTTAGCCCATGTCACTGATGGCAAAGGGTTTCCCTTGAATGGCACATTAAGAGTAAATGCTGTACCATGCTTAACAGAGAGCACTTTACGCATCTCAATGTCAACATCAAATGATGGTTCTGCAGTTCTGTCCTTTGCGGCAGATGGATTTGAATATGGACTACGCACACTGCTGCCAACTTTATTGATTGCTTTAACACAGAATTCATATTCTGCATCTGTCTTCAATCCAGTGATGGTGAATTCTAAGCTCTTTGTAAGAGGGATGGCCTCAACCCATCTTGCTAGTTCTTCAGGTGACTCAAGTACCTCCTCTTCCTCCTCATATTCTTCTTCTTCCTCTTCCTCTGGTTTCTGGATGTAGTCTCTGTATTCTACACTGTATCCAAGGATAGGAGCACCACCATCATCTGTTGGTGGTTTCCAGACAATAGACACGGTGTCTTTGGTTGAATTCACAATCTTTGGCTTGGTTGGACGAGAAGGAATGACCAGAGGATCTACTGCTCTGAATGTTGCAGATGGTTCACTCGGTGGACTCAAACCAGCTGCATTTTCAGCATAAACTCGGAAGTCATATTCACAACCCTTGCGGAGTTTAGTTACTATTGTGGTAAATTCAGGAACTGGATCTCTGTTCACACGGACCCAACGCATGCTTGTTTTCTCACGCCGCTCAATCACATATCCAGTAATGGGACTGCCTCCATCATTGGCTGGCTTGCACCAGGTGAGGGTCATTGAGTCTCCAGTTATAGTAGTGACATCAACACTAGCTGGAGCAGTGGCAAAGGTGTATGGATTTGTAACCTTTATAACATCACTCTCCAGAGCTTCACCAACACCATGCTTGTTAATAGCAAGAACCCTAAAGATATAGTCATTGTCCTTGAGCAGACCTGTGACTTTAAAGAATGTTTTTGTGACATCTGCCTTCACCAGTGTCCATGACAGCCGACTGGTCTCACGTTTTTCAACAACATAATGAGTGATGTCTGCACCACCAGATTCCTGAGGTGGACCCCAAGACAGAGTGCACTCTGCTGCTGTGATACCTGTAATCTGAAGTGGTCCTGCTGAGGGTCCTGGCCTATCTAGAATCACACAGTTTATTGGCATGGTAACTGTTCCACCAATATTTTGTAAAGTCAGGGCATACTGTCCAGAATCTCTTCTGATACAATCCTTCATAGTGAGACACGTGCTGGTGTCTGTTGAAACAATTTGAATTCTAGCTCTTAGCTCGATTTCTTTGCCATTCTTGGTCCATGAAATGACAGGAGCAGGACGTCCCGCAAGATCCGCATTAATCTTTAGAGTTTCTCCGGCTTTCACAAACACGGTCTCTCTGAACTTCACATCAATCATGATGCGTGGTGGCTCCACATCATCTTTAATAGTGATGGGACCAGTATTGTCTGATGGTATACTAAACAGTCCAGCTGCATTCTTTGCAATGACACGGAAATCATACTGGCTGTTCTCTGTAAGGCCTGTCACATCATAATGGGTCTCAGGTACATTAGTGAAGTTGCACCTTGTCCATCGTCCTTCTGGAAGGTCTCTGCGTTCAATTGTGTAACCAGAAACCTTTGCTCCACCATCATATTCTGGTTTTTCCCAAGATAAGGAGACTGATGTTCTGGTGATTGCAATGATAATGGGTTTACCTGGAGGGTCACATGGATCTCTTGCTGCTACGGCTTCACAAGCCTTGCTACATTTACCAATACCGGCAATATTTTCAGCATATACACGGTATTCATACATCATGCCCTCTTCAATTCCAGTGACTTTGTACTCTGTATCTTTGATCATTCCTCTGTTCATCTTTGTCCAAAGAATGCTAGAACGCTCCTTCCTTTCCAGGTGGTAGCCCAGAACAGGACTACCACCATCACTAACTGGCTCATTCCAAGTCACCAGCATATAAGACTTGGTGGCCAGTTTCACTATGGGTGTAGAAGGAGGTCCGGGCTGTTTAAAATTGTACTGAGCAGTGATTCCAGGTGAATCCAGATAGCTACTCTTTCCATAGCGGTTAACAGCATAAATACGAAACTGATACTCTGCTCCATGTGTAAGGCGGCCAGCTTTGAAAGCTGTTCTAGCAACATTACTTGCTATCATCTGCCATTCCTGTGTGTTTGTGTCTCTCTTCTCCACAATGTAGTTGCTGATGGAGCAGCCACCATCATATTCTGGTGGGGACCAGGAAAGGGAGATGCTGTCTGAAGTCACTGCATCCACCTTAATTCCTTTAGGTGGACCTGGCTTATCAAGGACAATGACTCCAATATCTGCTGTAACAGTTCCTGCTGTGTTTGCCAAAGTCATTTCATACTTCCCAACATGTTCCTTCTTAGCCTCTTTGATAATGATTTTGGATGAGGCTGCAGTGTTTAAGATAGAAACTGATGTGGTTTGCTTCAAAGGAAGGCCATCCTTCTTCCAGGACACAGCGGGCTTTGGTCTGCCTCTTATTGGAACCTCAAAAGTGAGGTCACCTCCAGCCTTCACAGTGTATGTGGTAAACAGCAAGTTGATAGATGGTTCAATAGCAACATCCTTTGCAACCACAGGTAAGCCAAGATCCTTTGGCTCACTCTTCCCCTTCTCATTGATTGCAACAACTCTGAATAAATAAGCTTCATTTGGAGTTAAATTAGGAATAGTTGCTTCCGGTACCTTAACTGTACATGCTGTGCCCCATTTATCCCCACTCTTAGGCTTAAATTCTACATTGTAGCACATTACTTTGCATCCACCATCATGAGCAGGTTTCTCCCAAGCCAGTGACACACTAGTCTTGGTCAAATCTACAAGGGTAACCTTGCTTGGTGGCAAAGGTACCTCAGCTACCTTTACTTCTTTGGTTTCGACCATCTGGCCTTGGCCATATTCATTAACAGCACAGATTCTGAAGTAGAAAATTCCACCTTCTGGCAGGTCTTCTACCTTAAATGAGTTTGCTGTACAGTTGCTGGTGACAGCAGCATAGGCCTTCCTAACAGACTCTCTCTTCTCTATGATGTAGTTTGTGATTTTAGAGCCACCATCAGTAAGTGGAGTATCCCAGGCAAGAGTCACTGAATCCTTTTTTAGCTCCTTCACGGTAAAGTTTTGTGGTGCACTTGGTGTATCCAAAATTCTCACTGCAACAATTGCAGATTTTTTCCCACTACTGTTTTCTAGTGTTAGTGAGTATTTGCCACTGTCAAAGCGATTAACATTGTCAATGACAAGCATGGTGAATGAACTAGTAGTATCAATTACAGCACGCTCTGTAAGGGTACTGTCAACTTTCTCCCATTTTACAGCAGGCTCAGGTCTTCCTCTGATGGTGACAAAGAGGCGTAGAGTCCCACCAGCACGGACAGATAGAACCTTTCTGAGTTCAGCATCAAGTTCTATCTCTGGTGCTTCTGCCCTGTCAGAAGTAACCACTGTGCCATGGACATTAGCAGCCTCCCCCACTCCTTCTGAATTTATTGCATAGACACGGAACTGGTACTCTCCACCCTCCTTCAAGTCTGTTATAGTTAATTTGGTGGCTTGAATGCCACTGGGTGGAGTGAACATTGTCCATTCTTTTTCAACTGGTGCTTCTACTGCTGGTGCTATCTCTGCCTCCTCTGTTGACTCAGGTACCGGTGTATACTCCCTCATTTCAACAATGTATCCCTTGATATAAGCACCGCCATCAAAGTCAGGTTTGCCCCAAGACAGAGAGACAGAGGACTTTGTGTAGTCTGTTACTTTAGGATGGTGCGGAGGCCCAGGTGGTCTTATGGCATCACATGCCCTGTAGAACAGGGACAGCTCACTGAAATCTCCCATTCCAACCTCATTCTCAGCAGCAACACGGAACTCATAGAAGTGATCTGTGCTCAGACCTGTGACTTTAAACTGAGCGTCTGTAAGCTTTTGTCTGTTGCATTTTGTCCACCGTACACTGTCTTTGTCACGTTTTTCAAGATGGTAGCCTTCAATTTCAGCTCCACCAGTCTGTTCAGGAGCTGTCCACGACAAAACTATAGAGTCCTTTGTGATCAGACTGGCTTCTGGAGTTCCAGGAGCGCTAGGAGGCTTGTAAGGATTGCGTGCAATAATGGGTTCACTTTCCAGATAGTCACCAATGCCAAATTTGTTCACTGCTCTGACTCTGAAAATGTATTCATCTCCAGGAAGCAAATTTGTTACTTTATGGTACAGACCCTTGATGTCTGATGCAGCCACGGTCCAGGACAACCTGCTAGTCTCTCTCTTCTCCAGCACATAGTGAGTGATACTGGCTCCGCCATCTAGAGCTGGCTCAGACCAGGCAAGAATGCACCTGTCGGCCATGACTCCAGTAATCTTCATGGGTCCAGTGGGTGGACCTGGTTTATCAAGGACTTTAACTGTGATAGGGAACACTTTTGTACCACCCAGATTTTTGAGGATGAGGTCATAGTGGCCACTATCAAGCTTGGTTACATCCTTAATCGTCATTGCTGCACGTTTCTGTGTAGTTTTCACTTCGATGCGCAAAGCTTTGTCCATTTCCTTGCCCTCTTTCAGCCAGAGCACCTCAGGAATTGGTTTTCCATAGATGTCTGCATCCAGAAGCAGATTTTCTCCAGCATTTACAACAATAACATCTTTGTATTTAGGATCCATTGAGGCCCTTGGTGGTTCAATTTCATCAGTAGCAGTAATAGGTCCAGAGCTGTCAGATGGCTCGCTAAAGATGCCAGCTGCATTTCTTGCAATAACTCTAAATTCATATTGCTCATTTTCTGTTAGACCAGTGACAGTGTACTCAGTCTCAACTATATTGGTAAAGTTAGCTCTTACCCAGCGTCCATCAGGAGAGGCGAGGTCTTTCCTTTCCACAATATATCCATTCACTTTGCTACCACCATCATACTGAGGCTTAGTCCACTGAATCCTGATCTGGTTCTTAGAAATAGATACAGCTTCTGGGGTACCAGGAGGATCACATGGGTCGCGAGCAACAAAGGACTCGGATACTTTACTGCATCGGCCAATGCCAACAATATTTTCAGCATAAACTCTAAATTCATATCCAATACCCTCCTCAAGGTTAACGATCTTGAATTGTGTGTCTGTAATGAGAGTCTTGTTCAGTTTGCTCCATAGAATGCTGCTTCTTTCCTTGCTTTCCAAATGGTAGCCAATAACTGCACTTCCACCATCATTGACTGGCTCATTCCATTCAATGATCATCATTTCTTTAGTTGCATATTTCACATGTGGTGTTCCTGGAGGACCCGGTGGTTTGAATGGATATTGCACCACAATGGCCTTGGAATCCAGAGGCGCACCCTTTCCATATCTATTTTCAGCTATGATTCTGAACTGATATTCTGAACCTGTCTTCAGCTTGCTGACCTTAAAAGCTGTTCTAGCTAGCTGAGTGGTGACTGTTTGCCATGTTGTACTGGTTGTGTCTCTCTTTTCTACTATGTAATTCTTTACTTGGCATCCACCGGTGTACTCTGGGGGGTCCCAGGAGAGGTGGACAAAGGTGTTGCTCACTTCAACAATCTTGACTGGCCCTTTTGGTGGACCAGGCTTGTCGAGGATAATGACAGATACATCCTCTGCGGTTGTTCCAGTGGTGTTGGCTGCTGTAATTGTGTATTTGCCAAAGTCCTCCTTGCATGCCTCAGTAATTTCTATTCCCGTTGTTGTTTTAGTGGATATTATATTCATTCTTGATGTCACCTTCAAAGGCTGACCATCCTTGGCCCAGGTGACTTTAGGTTTTGGCTTGCCAAGAACAGGAAAATCTAACTTTAGATCCTTTCCAGCTAATACACTGTAAGTGTTGAATGGAATTTTGATGCTGGGCTCCATGGTCATGTCAGTGGCAATCACAGGTGCAGCAAGTGCTTTTGGCTCACTCTTTCCCTTTTCATTGTAAGCAATGATGCGGAATAGGTATTCTGTTCCAGCTGTAAGGCCTGTGACAGTACCTTCACATGTTTTTGTATTTGTTGCAACTCCCCACTTATCTGTACCCTTAGGTTGCATCTCAATTAGATAGCCAGCAATTCTGCTCCCTCCATCCTGCTCAGGTTTCTCCCAGGCCAGTGAGACACTGGATTTAGTGACATCATTGAGGAAGATCTTTCCAACAGGCAGTGGTACTTCAGAGGCCTTGGAGGCAGTCTTTGTTTCCACAGCCGGCCCAATTCCATATTCATTCTCAGCCATGACTCTAAAGTAGTACATAGCACCTTCAATCAAGTTCTCAACTTTGAATGTTGTTTTGGTGCATTTTGTGGACACATTTGCATATGCCTTTCTTGTTGATTCACGTTTGTCAATGACATAGTTCTTGATTTTGGCACCTCCATCAATCAATGGAGCATCCCAAGCAAGAGTGACAGAGTCCTTTCTGATTTCTTTAACAACAAGGTTCTGTGGGGCCCCAGGGGCATCCAGAATTTTAACTGAAATAACCTCAGACACAGTGCCACTGCTGTTAGTCAGTGTGAGGGTGTATTTTCCTGAGTCACTTCTGTCACATGAGTCAATAGACAACTGTGTGAAATTATGAGCTTTCTCGACCACTGGTTTTTCAGTCAGGTTTCCGTCATCCTTAGTCCACTTTATCTCAGGTGTTGGTCTGCCCTTAAATGGAATATTGATTCTAACAGAGCCGCCTGCTTTCAGTACAATGCCCTTCCTCAGCTCAGAGTCAAGGTGGATCTCAGGTGGTTCGACCCTTTCTTCAGGCTTAGCTGTTCCAGACAGAACTGCCGGCTCGCCAACTCCCAATTTGTTCAGAGCACACACTTGAATCTTGTACTCCTGACCCTCAGTAAGCTTTGTAATTTCATATTTGTTGACACGCAGGCCAGTTGGAGGAGTGACCATGGTCCATTCTTCCTCTTCAGCCTTGCAGACTTCAACAATATATCCTTGAATGACACTGCCACCATCAGACAGAGGTTTACCCCATGACACAGTAATAGAAGTCTTTGTTGAGTCAATCACATGCACATATCCTGGGGCTCCAGGTTTGTACTTGGGATCACAGGCCTTGTAGTATGAACTTGCAAGGCTTGGCTCTCCCACTCCAACTATGTTCTCAGCAGCCACTCTGAATTCATACTCATGGCCTGTGGTCAGGCCTGTAACTCTAAATGAGAGATCAGTGACCTTCTGTCTGTTGCATCTGGTCCATTTGATCCCGGTTCTATCCTTTTTCTCAATTATGTAATTTGTAATTTCACTGCCACCATCAGTCTCAGGGGCAGACCAAGAGATGGTCATACCATCATGGGCAATGTTAGATACATCCTCAATGTGAGGTGGACCAGGGAGAACAAATGGAGTTTTCATTATTACTGCACCAGACTCCAGTGGCTCACTTACACCATGACTATTAACTGCCATTACACGGAACATATACTCGTCACCTTCCAGTAATTTGGTAACTTTGTAGCATGTGATGCCACAGTTGCTAGAAACAACAGTCCAAGCTAGACGACTTGTCTCCCTTCTTTCAATGATGTAATGTGTAATAGGACTACCTCCATCATGTAGAGGGGGGTGCCATACCAGTGTGCATCTATCTTCAGCGACTCCAGTGACATGGAGTGGTCCTTCACATGGGCTAGGTTTATCCAGTACCAAAACCTTAAATGGAACAGTCTCACTACCGGCTTCATTTTTCAGCTGGAGTGTATAAGTTCCACCATCAACTCTAATGGAGTCTTTAATGACAATCATTGCATGGTTTTCTGTGTTTCTGATCTCTAGTCGAAGTGTGTTTTCAACTGGTTTGTCATCTTTGAACCACTGGATTGTTGGCAGCGGCTTGCCACGTACATCAGCATCTAGCTTGAATGTCTCTCCAGCATTGACAATAATGGTCTTGGTGAATGCAGGATCAATGGAGAATTTGGGTGCCTCCACAGCATCACTTGCAGTTATAGGTCCACTGTTATATGATGGTTTGCTGACAGTGCCAACAGCATTTTTAGCAATGACTCTAAAGTCATACTGTGCATTTTCAGTCAGACCAGTCACTGTAAACTGGGTCTCAATCACATTAGTAAAATTTGCCTTTACCCACCTGCCCTCGGGCAGATCACGCTTTTCCACAATATAGCCAGTGATATTGCTTCCACCATCATATTCTGGTTTAGTCCACTGAATGACAATGGTGTCTTTGGTCACATGGATGGCCTCTGGTATTCCAGGAGGATCACATGGATCACGGGCAACACATCCCTCTGAGACTTTGCTGCTCCTTCCAATTCCAACAATATTTTCAGCATAAACCCTGTATTCATATTCAACACCCTCCTCCAAGGGGTAACTCTTGAAACTTGTCTCGTGGATGAGAGTCTTGTTGATCTTGACCCAGAGAATACTATTCCTCTCTTTCCTTTCAAGATGGTAGCCAAGAACAGGACTGCCTCCATCTGTGACAGGTTCATGCCACTCAACAATTTGGTGGTCCCTAGAGAGAGAAGAGATGAAAGGAGTGCCTGGAGGGCCTGGCTCTCTGTATGGGTACTGAGCAACTACAGCAGATGAATCCAGACCATGGCTTTTACCATAACGGTTCTGGGCAATGATCCTGAACTGGTACTCAGCTCCAGTCTTTAGTCTAGGTACTTTTATGGTGGTTCTGGCCCAGTTGATACTAACATTCTCCCATGTTGTAGTAGTCGTATCTCTTTTCTGTACAACGTAGTTTGAAATTTGGCATCCACCATTGTGTTTTGGTGGGTCCCATGATATAGTGACACTCTGTGTTGTGATTTCATCAAATCTCACAGGGCCACATGGAGGGCCAGGTTTGTCAAGTACAATGACTTCAATTGTTGTGTCTTTCTTTCCAGCTGAGTTGGCAACATTTATGCTGTACATACCACCATCATCGCCTGCTGCCTCTTTTATGCTTAGTGTTGTATGTGTTGGTGTATTGACAATATGGACTCTTGTAGTAAACTTCAACGGAGCGCCATCTTTAGTCCATGTGATGGTAGGTTTAGGACGTCCAAAGATAGGAATGTCAATGTTAATGTCTTTGCCCACATGAACACTGTAGCTGCTGAATTCTGGACGGACATCTGGCTCAAAGACCAAGTTTTTGGTCATCACTGGCCCGGAAAGGACTTTGGGATCACTCTTCCCTTTATCATTGACAGCTGTAATTCTGAAAAGATACTCCTCTCCTGGGTTCAAATTGGAGACTGTTGCTTCCATTGTCTTAAAAGTGTTTACAGCAGACCATTTCTCTTGACCCTTCAGCTGCACCTCAAGCAAGTACTGCATGATCCTGCTACCACCATCATACTCTGGCCTCTCCCAGGCCAGAGAGATGCTTGTTTTTGTCTGATCTGTAACAATTAAACTCTTTGGAGCCTGGGGCACTTCTGAGACCTTAAGAGGATCAACCGTTGCTGCAGGCAGACCAACACCATAAGCATTCTCTGCAAGTACACGGAAGTAGTAACTGCAGCCCTCCTGGAGTGGTTCGATCTGCCATGAAAGAGCATGACAATTTGTGACAACAGCTGCAAATGTTTTGCGTGTGCTTTCTCTTTTTTCAACAATGTAGTTTTTGATCTTGGATCCACCATCCAACAGAGGTGGTTCCCATTCCAATGTTACTGACTGGTTTGTAATTTCTTTCACTTTAAGATTAACAGGAGCACTAGGTGTGTCAAGGACGCGGACAACAACCAATGCAGATTTGGTTCCACTGGAATTCTCTGCAGAGACTGTGTATTTTCCACTGTCATTTCTGCTCATTTTATCAATCACAAGCAATGTATAACTGCTGGTTATCTCAACCTGAGCACTCTCTTTAAGGGGAGCTTCATCTTTGTCCCACTTTATAGTAGGTGTGGGCCTGCCTTTGATAGGAATGAAGAGTCTTAGGGACGCACCAGCTTTAATGGTAACAATTTTTCTTAGTTCTGGGTCAATGTCAAGGTCTGGCTCATCTGCTCTGTCCGTAGCAACAACAATTCCAGCAACATCAGCATGCTCACCAACTCCTACTTTGTTGATTGCACATACTCTAAACTTGTATGCCTGGTTTTCTTTCAGATTTGCAACTTCAAACTTAGTCTTCTTAACACCTGTAGCTGGTGTGCACATTATCCATTCTTCAACAACTGTGTCTGTGGCAGCTCCTTCAGCAGCAGGTGCTTCAGCAGTAGTAGTGCAGCACTCAACAATGTATCCCTGAATCTCACAGCCTCCATCAGAAATGGGTTTTCCCCATGACAGGAATACTGATGTTCTTGTAGTGTCTGTAACTCTTGGGTTATGTGGTGGGCCAGGCCTAAAGATAGGATCAAGAGCTTTGTAGAAAACAGTTGGGGAGCTTGGCTCACCAACACCAACAGAATTCTCAGCTGCAACTCTGAATTCATAATTGTGGCTTTCCAAAAGTCCTTTGACCTTAAAACTCAAATCAGTGACTGTTTGCCTATTGCACCTAGTCCATCTTACACCTTCTTTGTCATGCTTCTCAATTATGTATCCAGTTACAGGACTGCCACCATCTTCAGAAGGAGCCTCCCAGGTAAGCACCATTGAATCCTTTTTAATATTTGAAACTTCTAAGTTCTTGGGCGATCCAGGTAGCATGTATGGATCCTTGATTATGACAGCAGGAGATTCAAGTGGTGCGCCTACTCCAAATTGGTTGACAGCACGGACTCTGAAGATGTACTCATTTCCCTCCAGGAGCTTAGTAACTTTTAGACAAATGTTCTCCACTTTTTGTTCAACTACAGTCCAGATTAGTCTGCTTGTCTCTCTTCTCTCCACAATGTAGTGACAGATCTTGCTGCCACCATCCTGCAATGGTGGTTTCCATGCAAGGCAGCATCTGTCTTTGGTTATTCCTGTGACAACAAGAGGCCCTTGTGGTTCTCCAGGTTTATCTAGAACAACAACATTGACCTGTACAGTCTTTTCTCCTCCAGGATTTTTCAGTAGCAAAATGTATTGCCCTCCATCAGACAGTTTAGCTTCTTTAACAGATATAAAAGCTTTGGTGGGTGTGTTCTTGATTTCCCTGTGAATTGTGTTGCCTAGTTCCTGCTCTCCCTTCATCCAGTGGATAGAGGGCAGTGGTTTTCCATGAACATCTGCATCAATTTTGAAGTTGTCGCCAGCACTGACCACAATATTCTGTGTATACTCTGGGTCAATGCTTATGCGCGGTGGCTCAATCTCGTCTCTGGCAGTAATTGGACCAGTGCTGTAAGAAGGAATACTGAAAACACCAGCAGCATTTCTGGCAATGACACGAAACTCATACTGATTGCCCTCCACAAGTCCACTTGCTAAATATTCCGTCTCAATTACATTAGTAAAATTAGCCTTCAACCAACGACCCTCTGGAAGCTCCTTCTTTTCCACAATGTAGCCTGTAACCTTTGCACCACCATCATACTCAGGTTTGGTCCAAACAATAGTCACTGAGTCCTTAGTAATCTTTATTGCCTCTGGGGTGCCAGGTGGATCACAAGGATCTCTAGCAATATAGCCCTCCGACACTTTACTTGCTTTGCCTATTCCAACTATGTTTTCAGCATACACTCTGTATTCATACTCCATTCCTGGTTCTAGACCAGTGGTCTTAAAGGTTTGGTCTGTAATAAGAGATTTGTTTAGTTTGACCCAAAGGATGCTGTTCCTCTCTTTACGTTCAAGGTGGTAGCCCAAGATAGAACTTCCACCATCAATGACAGGTTCATTCCAGGTGACCACCATGCTATCTTTGGTGCAGACTGCAATGGATGGTGTACCTGGAGGGCCTGGGAGTTTATATGGGTATTGAGCCAAAATGCATGGTGATAGAAGAGCTGGACCTTTTCCATATCTGTTTTCTGCAGTAATTCTAAACTGATACTCAGAACCTGTTTTCAGCCTGCCTGCCTTAATTTTGGTCCTTGCTACGTTGGAAGATACAACCATCCAGGCAGTTGTAGATGTGTCTCTCTTTTCTACAATATAGCTTTTGATGGTGCAACCACCATCATACTCTGGTGGATTCCAGGAGATGGTTACACTGTCAGAAGTGACTTCCTCTACCTTAACTGGACCACCTGGTTGGCCAGGTTTGTCAAGAACAACAATGCCAATATCTGCTTTAGTCTCTCCTGCTGTGTTGGTAAGAGTAATAATGTAGTGTCCAACATCATCTTTAGTAGCTTCTTTTATAGTGAGGTTCAGCATTGTGTCTGTAGCACCAAAGTTTACTCTGCTAGTTCTCTTAAGAGGGAGACCATCCTTTACCCATGAAACTGTTGCTTTGGGGCGTGCAATATAAGGAACCTCCACTTTCAAGTCTTCTCCTGCCAACACAGTAAATGTGTTGAACAACATTTTGACAGCAGGTGCAATAACAAGGTCTTTTACAATCACAGGGACTCCAATCTGACGTGGATCACTTGTTCCTTTTTCATTTCTTGCAGCAACACGGAACATATATTCTTCACCTGCATTTAGTCCACTAATAGTAGCTTCTGTTTCTTTTACGATCAGTGCTTGGGTCCACTTGTCAGCACCCTTAGGCAGGATCTCAACAACATAACAGCCCACTCTACTGCCACCATCATGCTCTGGCTTCTCCCAGGAGAGAGTGACACTGTTTTTGGTAACATCCTTAAGAGTGATTTTGCCAGGAGGCTGTGGTTTCTCTGACACCTTAACTGATTCACCAGTCTCAATGGGCAAGCCGATGCCATACTCATTCTCCGCTAAAACTCTAAAGTAATAGTTGCATCCTTCCAGGAGCTGGTCAACAGTGAAGGTGGTTTGATAGCAGAGAGCATTGACTGTGGCATATGCTTTTCTTGTAGACTCACGTTTTTCAACAACATAATTCTTAATTTTAACTCCACCATCATTCACTGGTGGATCCCAAGTCAGAGTCACAGCATCCTTTGTCACAGCAGTAATTTTCAGATTCTGTGGGGCACTTGGTGTATCAAGCACTCTGACTTGTACTGTAACTGTCTTGGAGCCAGAGCTGTTCTCAACAGTAAGATTATACTTTCCACTGTCAAATCGGTTGACATTTTCAATTATCAGTGATGTGTATGATGTTGTGCTGTCAATGATTGCCCTCTCAACTGGCTCCCCATCTCCTTTGGTCCATTTTACCTGAGGGGGTGGTCTGCCTCTGATAGGCACAAACAGTCTAAGTGAACAGCAAGCTCTAAGCCTGACAACTGACCGAAGTTCCGCATCCAAATCAATCTCAGGAGGGAGAAGCCTGTCCTCTGCCTTTGGATTACCAGGTACAGATGCTGCCTCTCCAATTCCTTCACTATTGACAGCAGAGATGTGAATCTTGTACTCTTGATTCTCCTTCAGGTTAACAATGGTGAATGAGGTAGCAGGAAGACCTTCCTTGGGTGTCACAATGGTCCATTCCTCTTCTTCCTTCTTTTCAGATGGGATGCATGTTTCTACAATGTAGCCCATTATTTCACAGCCACCATCAAATGCAGGTTTGTTCCAAGCCACAGTAATTGAAGACTTGGTTGTATCCAAGATTCTGGGGTTGCATGGAGCTTCAGGCTTGTATAGTCCATCAGTGGCCTTGTAGAATGGACTAGACACACTTGGTACACTCAATCCGGCAGCATTCTCAGCAATAATTCTGAATTCATATTCATGTCCAACAACAAGACCTGTTGCCTTGAACTGCAGATCTTTGACTTTCCTCTTGTTACACTTGACCCAACGGAGGCCCATTCTATCTTTTCTTTCAATATGGTAGGTGGTGATGGGAGTTCCACCATCACTCTTAGGTGCTTGCCACATGACAACCATTGAATCTTTAGTGATAGCTGTCACCTCAGCATTCTCAGGAGGATCTGGAATCACATATGGGTTGTCTGCAATAGTGGGTTGTGATTCAAGCGATTCGCCAATTCCATATTTGTTCACTGCCATTACTCTAAAAATGTATTCGTTTCCTTTGAGCAGCTTAGTAACCTTGTATTGTGTATCTTGGAGGTCTGAAACAACACTGGTCCAAACCAGTCTGCTTGATTCACGCTTCTCAATCACATATCCTTCAATCTTGGAACCACCATCATCTGCAGGTGGAGCCCAGGAGAGTGCACAGTTCTCAGCTGTGACATCAGTTACCTTAAGAGGTCCAACTGGTGGTCCTGGTCTGTCAAGCACTTTAACATTAAAAATGTGCTTTGCAAATCCACCAACATTAGTGGCAGTCAAAATGAATTCACCTCCATCTGGCCTTATAGAGTCCTTGTTGGTTAGAGTAGTTGTCAGTTCAGTGAACCTAACTTCCAGTTTCATTGTATTCTCAACCTCCTTTCCATTTTTGGTCCAAACCATAGATGGTGTTGGTTGACCAGCAATATCAGCTTCAAGCTTGAATGACTCTCCTGCCTTTAGTAGAACAACATCCCTAAAGATGGCATCTACCATAATGCGTGGTTCGATAATGTCATCTTTGCAGATAATAGGATCTGAAGGCTCAGAAGGTATGCTCATTGCACCTGCTGAGTTTCTGGCTATGATACGGAACTCATATGAGGCATCTTGAGTTAGTCCACTAACAGTGAACGTTGTTTCAATTATGTTGGTAAAGTTGGCTCTCATCCAGCGACCAGCAGGCAGTTCTCTCTTCTCCACAATGTAGCCGGTGATTTTGAACCCACCATCATACTCAGGCTTTGTCCACTGAATAGTAATGGCATTCTTGTTGACAGATATTGGCACAGGCTGACCTGGTGGGTCAACAGGGTCCAAGGCCAATATCGGTTCTGAGGCCTTGCTGGGTTTACCAATTCCAGCCATGTTTTCAGCCATGACACGAAACTCATAAGCAACTCCATCTTCAAGTCCAGAGGATTTAAAGATATTTCCTTTTACAAGACCCTTGCTAATCCTATACCACATTATGCTGGTTCTTTCTTTCCTCTCAACATGGTAGCCAATGACTTCATTTCCACCATCATTCACAGGCTCATTCCAGCCAATTGTTATTGAGTTTTTGGTAAATGCAACAACGTTAGGAGTACCTGGAGGACCAGGGACTTTGAATGGATAGGCAGCCACCACTGTCTCTGAAGTAATAGGAGGTCCAACACCATATCTGTTCTTAGCCTTTATTCTGAACTGATACTCTGATCCAGTAGTTAACCGGATGGCTTTAAACATTGTGCGGATGACGGTAGACGACAACTCAGTCCATGTTTGAGAAGTGGTGTCTCGTATTTCAATGACATAGTTGTTGATGGGAACCCCTCCATCATTCTCAGGAGCGTCCCATGAAAAGATACAATAAGTACGAGATATTTCCACAATCTTAACGGGTCCTTTGGGTGGACCAGGTACATCATGAACTTTCAGAGTGATGCTGTCTGTCACAGATCCAACAATGTTTTTTCCTGTCATGGTGTATACACCACTGTCAGCTCTGGTGCACTCACTGATACTGATAATGACTGTAGCAGCAGTAGTTTCTACATTGGTCCTCTGTGTGAGTTTCAGGGCTGCGCCATCCTTCTGCCAAGAGACAGTTGGTCTAGGACGTCCCATAACTGGAATTTCAACCTTGATATCATCTCCTGCCTTGGCAATAACAGTCTTGTGACAAACTCCACGCAGGTCAAACTCTGGCAAAGAAGTAGAGTCCTTGACAACAATGGGTTTGCTCTCCTTTGGAATACTCCTACCTGAGTGATTGACAGCCATTACATGGAAAATGTACTCCTCATTCTCATTGAGATTCTTCACAGTGAAATCCATGTTCTTGACCGTCGTAATATGAGACCACTGATCAGTTCCCTTCTTCTGGGCTTCCAGGACATATCCTGTAATTCTGCTTCCACCGTCATGCTTAGGTTTGGTCCAAGCCAGGCTGATAGAGTTCTTGGTGATATCAGTAGGAATAATGCTCTCTGGAGAGCTTGGTGTCTGGGATGCACGAATTGGATCAGAAGTTTCAACCGCCTCACCGATACCATACTCATTCTCAGCAGACACTCTGAAATAGTACTCACAACCTTCACCCAGGTCACAAATTCTGACTGAAGTAGTTGGGCACTTTGTAACAACAGTAGCAAAAGCCTTGCGTGTTGATTCTCTTTTCTCAATTATATAGTTTGTGATCTTTGCACCACCATCAATGAGAGGCATTTCCCACTGAAGCGTAATGCTTTCTTTGTCAATCTTGATTGGTTTTAGGTTAAGCGGAGGCCCAGGTGAATCCAGAACTCTCACGTGTATGTCAGCACTCTTCTTTCCAGCTGAGTTTTCGAGGGTAAGCTCATATTTGCCTGCATCAATTCTTGAACTCTCAGGAATGATCAGCATCGTAAATGATTCAGTGCTGTCAATGACTGCACGTGGAACAGGTCCGCCTTCCTTGGTCCAGGTGACAGTAGGTGTAGGACGTCCCTTGATTGGCACAAAAAGGCGAATGGAGCAGCCAGCTCTGACAACAAGAGTTCTTCTGAGCTCAACATCAAGCTCCATTCCAGGTTCAGCTGCATGCTCCACAATCTCAGTGAATTCCTTAGTTTCGGCAGGTTCTCCCACTCCTTTAGCATTCACAGCACTAATTCTGAAGCAGTATTTTGCACCAGTGTCTAGTTCAGGAACAACAAATTCAGTGATCCTAAGTGGAGATGATGGGGTATCCTTAACCCATTCTTCTGTTCCTTCTTTTTTGTGCTCAATGACATATCCAGTAACTTCCAGTCCACCATTATGAAGAGGTTTTCCCCAGTTCAGAGTGGCAGTGGTTTTGGTTGTGTCTGTAACTCTTGGATTGACTGGAGGTCCAGGTGGATCTATAAGATATAAAAGAAGAAATTATTATTATTATAATTAATAAAATAAATCTAGAATTTTACACAAAAAAATCCCAAAGCTGTTGTTATATTGTTGAAATATTATGTCAGAGTCTGGTAGCCTTTTGCTTTTCACATCTATTTACTTACAGGCAACAACTATTGTCCTGACAACCATCGACGGTTCACTTGGCTCACCAAACCCAGCTCTGTTCTCAGCAAGAACACGAAACTCGTACTCCACATCCTCAGTGAGACCTGTGACTTCAAAGCTGAGTTCAGTGATGGATTTCTTGGATGCTCTGACCCATCTCATGCCTTTTTTCTCTTTCTTTTCAACACAATAACCTATGATGTCGCTTCCTCCATCTTCAGTTGGTCTTCTCCAGGTCACAGTGGCTGAATGTCCATTGACTTTTTCAACCTCTGGTTTGGAAGGTGGACCAGGTGGACCTATGTGGATCCATAAAAGAAATATATTGATGAATCCAAATATTTAGCATTCTTCTTCCAGATATACTGTAGAACAAAAATAAATGATACATACCAAATCTATCTACCATTTTAACTGCCTCAGAGTGTGATGGCTCACTGGCACCATACTGGTTAACAGCAGACACTCTGAAGAAGTATTCATTGCCCTGGATGAGTTTGTTGGCCACATAGTGACAATCAATAATGTTATCTTCTAGGATAGTCCAGAGCAAACGGCTGGTCTCCCTCTTCTCCAGGGTGTAATACTTGATAGGAGAGCCTCCGTCTTCAGTAGGAGCTGTCCATGTAAGAGTCACTTTTTCTGAGGATACACCACTGCACTCAATGGGTCCAGGAGCACCAGGAACATCCAGAACTTTGACCTTCACAGTTTCCTCCTTTACACCAAAGGGATTACTGGCAGTGATTATGTAGTCTCCAGAGTCCTTCCTGCTAGCATATTTGACCGACAAAGTGGAGGATGTGGCAGTGGTCTCAATTTGAACAAGATCTGAGGGTTTAAAGTACTTTCCTCCCTTTGACCAGCAGGAGGTTGGTGCAGGTTTCCCTAAAATGCTTGTGGCAGTGATGACGATAGTATCGCCAGCTCGGACAGTCAAGCCTTCCATCACCTGAGCATCAATTATAATGGTTGGCGCAGCTGATGGAGGACAAATGGAAATTTTTATTTTTATCATGCTGCCTGAAAACATTCAGAATGGTTTTAATATAGATTTATATCTCATCTTACCATATTCATCTGTGCAGATAATGGTATCTGTCTGCTCAGAGGGTGGACTGAGAGCGCCTGCAGCATTCTTTGCCCGAATTCTGAACTCGTATTTGCAGCCCTCTTGCAATTTAGTGACAGTGAATGCAGGTTCCACAACATTCACATTGTTTGCCTTTACCCAGATTTTAGAAGGCAGGTCTCTTTTCTCAATAATGTAGCCCGTCAGTCGGTGGCCACCGTCAAACTGAGGTTCAGTCCACTGGAGGGTCACAGTGCTCCTTGTAATGCTGATTACATCTGGTTTACCAGGTGCATCTAGCGGTATAGATATGACAATAATGAATGTATTGTTTTATATTTGAAAATCATTTTTGTAAAGATGTTTGTAATTTTTTCTTTTACTTACCAACGGGGTTCAGGGCCACCTGTGGATCAGTGGGGGCACTTGGTCTACCAATTCCAGCCAAATTAATTGCCATCACTCTGAACTCATACTCCAGACCTTCAGTCAGCCCAGTGACTTTATGTTCTCTCATCTTCAAGGCAGCTGGGCTTGCCCTCTTCCACAACATACTGTTTCTCTCCTTGAACTCAACATGATAGCCTGCACATATTACCAAAGCAAAATAAACCAAAGTTGACATATAAAATGTATCAAGAATATCGGGACAGAATAACATAGTTGTTGATAGTTCAATTAAATTCAGTTTTATTTATGTAACCCAAAATAACAACAACAGTCATCTGAAGGCACGTAAAGACCCTACAGTTATACAGAGAAACCTCGACAATCAGACGGTCCCCTTTCAGGGGAATCATGCTCAGGGAGGAGCGGCCATCTGCAACCGGTTTTGTGTTAGGAAAAGAAGACAGGGCAAAAGACATGCTGTGGAATTGAGCCAGAGAGGAGGTTGGCGAAATGTTAAAGCAGACCATACCTGTAATAGGAGATCCTCCAGTCTTCCTTGGATCAGTCCAGGCAAGATAAGCTGAATCATGGCGCATGCTCATAATCTGAGGAGGAGCAGGAGCATCAGGAACATCTGTACAAAAATAGTGATGAAGAGTGATTAGCAGTCCAAAAAGACAAATAAATATTGAATAACAACACAATTCAGCCTTTGAAATAGTATACAGTACTTACTGAATGGATGTTTGGCTACAATCGGCTCAGATTTGAGTCCTTCGCCGACCCCATACTTGTTCTCGGCACATACTCTGAAGATGTATTCTGTGCCTTCATGAAGACCAGTTACTCTCATGGTGTTGGTCTCCACAACAGAGGACACAGTCACCCACATGTTTGTGATGGAGTCCCTCTTTTCCAGGATATAGTTGGTAATTTCAGAGCCACCATCATCCTTGGGAGGACCCCACTTTAGTGTGGCACCATCAGCAGCAACATCTTTGAACTTTACTGGTCCTCCAGGAATGCCAGGTTTACCCACCACCCTAATAAGAAAAAAGGATCATTTTGACATTTTTTATGTGTAGACACTGTTGTATGGATATGGTGAAATTCATTTTGAGGAAAATACCCTTTAAATTCCATTACATGATCCTTACCTGACAAAGATGGTGGACTCTTTGCTTCCAGCACTGTTTCTCAGGGTGATGGTGTATTTGGAAGCATCAGTCCTTTGGCAGTCCCTGATGAGGAGGGTGGTGTTAACTGCTGAGGACTCGGCACACACTCGGCCAGTGTCTGTCAGGTCTTCATCATCTCCCTTCTTCCAGGTTACCTTGGGTGTAGGCTTGCCAATAATTGGGATCTTCAGGCGGACGGTACTGCCTTCCTTGGCAATGTAGCACATGTTGGGCAACTCCCTCAAGTCACAACTGGGAAGAACTTTATAGGAAAGGAACAACTACTTAATATATCCATATTTAAAGACTTTATGTGCTTACTTATTAAGTTATTTGTCTGAATGTTTCATAAAAGGGGATACTTACTGATCTGGTCCTTGGCAACCACTTTCAGCTCCTTGGGAGCACTCTCTCCTGTGTCATTCACAGCTTTGACTCTGTAGGTATACTCTCTATCCTCCACCAGGTCCTTGGCACTGTACTGCATATTCTTAGACCTCATTAGCTCCTTGTATTTATCCTCACCATTGAGAACCTCAAGTACATAACAGATGATGCGACTACCACCATCAGTGAGGGGTTTCTTCCAGCTTAAAGTGCAAGAATCCTTGGTAACCAGCAGGGTCTTGAAGTCCATGACAGGCCCAGGCTCCTCTGTAAAATTAAATGTAATTAGTATGACAGTTGGAGAAACAAAATCCAAGTACATAACCTGTTATGATCCAACCCACCTGTTGCTCTGACTGAATCATCAGTCTCACAGAACTCTCCAGTACCCAGCTGGTTAACTGCTGCCACTCTGAAGCAGTAGGACCGCCCAGCATCTAGGTCTGGAACCTTGAATGATGTCTTATTGCAGTTGGTGGAAACGGTAGACCAAGCCTTCCTCTCAGTGTCACGCTTCTGTACTATGTAGTGGGTAATTTCAAAGCCACCGTTAATCAGAGGAGCATCCCAGTAGATGGAGGCACTATCCTTACATGTGTCCTTCACCATTAGATTAACTGGTGGTCCAGGAGTGTCTGGAAAGATAAAACAACACTTCATACTAATGTTTTTGTTTTTTGTTTTTTTGTAAAATTGAACTAATCAAGAAACTAAGACTAACCATTAGTGACTAATATCAATCTGACTTGACTATAGTCACTGCAAAATATTAATGCATTTGTTTAGTGAAATAACTTCCTGTACTGACCAAAAACTTTGACAACGATGGTATACATCTTCATGCCAGCTAAGCTGTCCAAGCTCAGAATGTATTTGCCAGCATCATATCTGTTCACTTTCTCCACCATCACCATGGTGTCAACATGGGTGGATTTGATGATGATGCCCTGACGGTCTTTAATGTTAGTGTTCATCTTTGCCCAAGTTATTTTGGGAGTGGGACGACCCTTGATGGTGGCATGCAGTCTCATGGTGGCACCAGCACGTAGCTCCAGGCCATCCTTCAGCTCTGCACTCAGTTCTGCCTCAGGAGCAACTGTACAAACACAGAGAGAGAATGATTTCATGAGTATGTTTAAGGAAAGTGTCTGCTTTATACAGGGAGTGCAGAATTATTAGGCAAATGAGTATTTTGTCCACATCATCCTCTTCATGCATGTTGTCTTACTCCAAGCTGTATAGGCTCGAAA